GAATGGATGGGAGAAAAGAGGAAAGAGAATAGGGAATAGGGGAGTGACATCNTAATAGATGTTCTTAAAGTATCGTGTTTCTCCAAAAATGTGACTACATCACATAAAGTTCGAAATGTCAACGAATTCAGAGGAAATGAAAATGGATATNTAAAAAAACGATACCGTACATTCTCTAATAGAAGCACACCCTATAACTGCATCTGAGCTCAATAATCTCGGTTCCCGTCAAGGATATAAAAAAAGTGGTCAACTGATATAATATAGGTGATATTATTAAAAACCTTTTATTAGTTGATCACTTTTTAATATCTTTCAAAAGAACCGAGACAATTAAGTTCGAAGTGCAGGAATAGGATGGACTTCTAGTGGAGAATTATTAGAGAGATTCCGATAGACTTTACGGAATATCAGAAAATTTACGGTAACGAAGATTATTCTTATTTGGGAAGCTAGAAATATTTTTTTTTCGAATGCACAGTTATGAATACAAAATGCGAAAGAGGAATCTTCAGATGATCACATCTTTATCTCAATTCAATTCAATTATATTATGCACAATAATGGCTCTCCAACGAATGCAAAAATAGACCCAAACGGGCCAACACTAATATATCATTTTCCGGAAACATCGAAGAACTCATGAACATTTTTCTTCTTTTCCATGAATATATTAAAGAAGAGAACTGAAAGAGGGAAAAAAGAGGAAAATGAAATGGAAAACATATGTGATGGTGATGCATTGACAAAAACTGCACTATTCTGTTTTGCAAAAAGGGGTTCGAGTATCTTTTATCTCAAGTTTNGCAATCNTCGGCCCATGTTTCTTTCATAGATTTTTAGACAACTAACTCAACAAATTTCAGAATGGATAAGCGCACCGGAATTCGTCCCGAGATCTAAGCAACTAGCTGATGCTTTTGGATTCCCAACGCCTGATTTTGATAATCAGAATCCTCCTGAATCTGTTCCGTTTGGTAATGATTTTTCTGAATACTTTTAAAAGAGGCCAGACACCAAAAAAAGTTTTCCTGATATTTTGCATAGAGAACCCCCATGAGGGGTTGAACTCATGACAGGCAGCTCAGGGGTACAGCGCTGCTACCGGCTGAGCTACGGGGTCGCGAAAGCGCCTGACGACCGATGGTCTACATAAGCGCGGCGCGATTTCGTCCCCCGAACTGTCCCCCGAAATTTTTGCTGAAATTAAGAATATTTTCAGATCCGAATTACTACGAGTACTCTCTACAGAACCATTTTATTCCACAAGCAATGCCTGTTCCAACTCCATTCAATGGAATACCACCGGGTTATACAGCTAATATGACAACAATCAATCGTGAGTATTTTGAATTGAGAAACTGTGAATTACCATTGGCAGGTTTCCTTTTGAACCTACCGTAAAACCTGAAATAAAAAGGCCCCAAACTTTTAAATTTGAGCCAAATTTTCTGTCAGCGATATACAAAGTTGTCAACTGAAATACTTTTTACCATGATATCAGAAGTGTTAAGTCAGTTGACACATTTTTGATATCTTGAATAGAAATTGAGATAATTGAGCCCAAAAATAGCGGTGTGGGGGCTCTTCTATTACAGGTTCTACGGTATCTGGATTACTGTATAGCCGAGTTCCAGAGCTTCATCAGGTCAAACCAATATCGTTAAAAACTTCAGATTAAAATCAATTAAAGTGAAGATACAAATTTCTTGCAATTTTTGGTATTCCTGGAATACCGTAGTTTTTCAGATTTGATATTTTTTATGAGTTAGTTAGAGTTCAATTTATTAAAAAGGTCTAAGGGCGTTCCTCAACTTTTCATCACTTCATGCCTTCATTTCCCCCTTTATACAAACCATTCTTTCTCTTTTCTTCCACTCACTTTTGCCTCCTTCAGTACTAAATGTTCATCTTCTTTATCCCTTTCCGCCTCCGCGTCTTTTCTCTGCGTCTCTTCTTCTCATATACTGTATCTCTTATCACCTCTTGCAATCCTTGACTCTTTCCCCCTATCTCTCTCTCTCTCTCATAACCTTGGTCATTCTTAACCTTCGGGGCTCTAGACCGGGAACTGCCCAACTAAAAACTACTGTTTTCTTTTTCTCTTTTTCATCTCTTCTCCATCTCCATTTGCTCCATTTCAGCCGGCAACGGTCCGCCGATAGCAGCCATTTTGCTTCGGAAAAAGAGAAAACGTCGCTCAAAACATTCAACTAACTCGATGGTCAACACACATTCGGTGAGTATGGAGAATTCTTGAAGATTCTAAATTTATTTGATTCCAGACATCGCCATGTTCCTCTCATCCATCGGATCCAAATGGAGACATTTCCTCTTGCGATGAGTTCCAAAAGAATTCAGATGCTGAAAATTTCAGCGGATCTTGCCCGGATTTAACAACTCAACAAATTCAAAAATGGGACGACTATTTGGTATGTTTCATGAGAATTAAAAAAATTTTTTCAAAGTATAAAAATTTCCAGTACGAAACAGCTAAGAATGTGAATGAAAACGGGATTCTCCATGAGAGTACTGGTGAAAGAACATCCGAAGATCTGAGCTCTTCTGTCTACGAATGCGCCGCACCAGGAATATTGGAGACTGCTGCTCAGACGATTTCTGGAACTTCCAACAAAGAACTTCAGAAATTAGATCAGGAAATCAACGGGAATGTGATGACGTCATCGATGGTTTTGAGAAAACTCGCAAATCACCATACATACATTTCCGATGGATGTACGGAGAAGACATTGGAGCAAGAAATGAATGAGTTGACATTCAGAAAACCAGTAGTACCGGTAGGGTTCTGTCAGATACGATACGTAAAGGAATGACATTTTTAGCAGAGATACGGTTACCCACAAATTGATAACAATGTGTCGCCTTATGTTCATTTGGCTACCATCGATCCTAAGAAAAAGAAAATCAAAAATCATTTGATTGATAAGGATGCATTGAAAGCTTATGTAGGTTTTTTCCAATCAAAAATATCTGAACATTCCCTAGAAACAAACAACAATAATAGTTTTTCAGCTTGACGAGGAAGCAGAGGAAGAGGAAGATTTTCTAGAAGGACTAAACATCACTGTCAATAACTTTGACACTTGTGAAGTAAGTGTCACTCATACGAAACCCGCTAATACTAATAGCTTTCCAGGACCTGAGCCTTTCGGATGTGGAACAACCATCAAGATTCCAACAATTCCAAGAGGCGATTCGGAAGAATACGGTAGTGATTGCCACAGATTTGCAGGCACCTGATAGACAGTGTTGCACTATTATGTAGATATTGTTTTCTTGCTTAATAAAATGCTTTAATGTTCAAAAAAAGTTTATTTGAGAAAAAATAAAAAAGAGTTCAAAGAGAAGTTGTGCTACTTCCTCCACCACATAGAATTCTTACACTGCAAAAATGAAGAGTTATTGAGAATGAATGTGTTTTTTGAACTCACTTCCACCAACTCAATTCTTCTTTCGGTTCTTCAAAAACATTGACATCAAAGTTGCTGAAATTTGGAAGAAAACTTATTTTAACAAGTTTTCTTTTCGGTGTTTTCAAATCTTACAAGATTTCTGAGAAAAATAAGAATCACCTTTCTGTTGCTCCCTTTGCGAAAACTGGAGACATCGCCGGATTGATATCGAAGCCAACGGATTCTGTTTGCGAATGTGCTTCTCGCTGTTCACTGAAATTTCAAACTTCAAAGATCCCAATAAAATAATGCTAATCTTACTATGTTTCTTGAAAATCAATCGGTGCTGAAGTATCGCATACCCCACAACTCATTGCCAAATACCCAATTAAGCCAAACAAAAATATTATATTGGCTGGAAAATGTATATCTCTTTGAAAATCACAAAATTATAGACATACGGTAACAAGTGCTCAAAAATTCAAATCCGACGAGAAGAGAACTCATGTTTTTCCTTTTCTTTCTATTTACAAGAGAAAAATTACAGAGAAATAATAGTCATAGGCACTGTTAGGAATGAACAAAAACTAGAATAAACTGAGAATATCACAGATACGTGGAAGAGAAATGGTTGCGCGGGAATTTTAAAATTGAAAGACTTAAATCAAGGAAGTACAAAAATAGGTGTGACAGATGTCATCTTCATATCCTTCTTGACCAAACCAAATCTCTGAAGAACGTATCGACGGAGGGAATCCGAAAATATCCAAAGCAGATATGGATTTATACTTGCATACAAATCACTGAAGTCAAAATACCGTAAAACCTGTATTAGAAGGGATCTATTATTCTAAGGTACCTACGGAGGACCCTTCTATTACAGGGGAAATTCTATTTTCCAGGCCATTTTTTCCGAAAATTTTCATTTGAAAGTTCGGGAAATTCTCGTTCAAATTTCATGAAAATCCACCACTTTCACAGAATATGTCCTTCTATTTGGTGGACCCTTCTAATACAGGTTGTACGGTAATTTTACTCGAGACAGTTCTAGACACAAACCTCAATGCATTGTAAACCATATAAAATTGATCGGTTGAGAATCCAAGAATGTCAGATCCTCCAAAAATGAAGAGCAATAAAACCGACATCTGAACTCCTACAGTAATCGTGCTCATTGTGAATAGCTTTGCTTCTCGAATTTTCGTTTTTTCTTTTCGTTTCGATTGGTATCTTACTGGTTGAGACTAGAAAAGGCACAAATTCTTAGAACATTCTATGCGATTTCCTTACCAGAGTATTTTTATGTCTTTTGTGTAAAACGGCAAACAAATAACAATAAGTCAGGACCAGAAACAAACAATTTGCAAATAAGAAAACACCTCCAATCACGAAAAAAGTATTAGTCATTGTCACACTGAAACTGTTTCTGTGAAGATTTTTCAATTTTTTTAGATTTCAAAAACCCATACTTCAAAAACTTTGGTACAATCCCATTTTGCTCATTGCGAAAAAGTTGTGTGGGATTGAAAAATGTGGCAAGACCAACTGAAAGTCCTGATAAGTATTGAATTGAAATGGCAACCCAGATACAGTATCCTTGCCACATCTGGAAATTTTTCAAGATAAGAAAACAATTAACTTTATAAGTTGTACCAAGTGGAATTTAGTTGGAAAAAGCATTACGGAAAGACGATTTGCAGCCAGAATAGAGACTCCCATCGCCTGACAAATACCTGGAAAAAAGACTGAATTGGTTTTTCAGAATCTTCTAACCTGTACTCCAAGCAAAATACAAGTACACATGAGCGTATCCTTTTCCCAAAAACATATAAACGGGAACAAACATTCCCCATTTCGGAAACATCGCTCCCAGATAGTTGGTGAGAAGTGTCCCTGAAAATAAATCATTCGATTTGATTCCAAAATTGAATAAACTTGCAAATATCAACTCCAGCAGTTGCTAAACATAACTTGAAAAACGGGCTCATCAGTTCTTCAAATCTCCGATAATGAGCCTCAAATAGAGCCCAAACGATTGTAAAATGAACTGTGAGAGTGACACAGAAAACGAAGAACTGAATATTTTCAACAGTTCTTACGAGTTTCTCATCTTCTGCAGTTCTTGTATAGTTGATATCCGCCATTTCAAGATTCCAGAATTCGGAAGAAAGAGAAGTCATTTGACTTTATGGAATGGAATGAAATGAAGAATCCGATGTGACTGAAATGTATTCACTGCTCTCAGCATTTTCAACAAAAGTAAACAACATAATTAATAAATTCCGTATTCTTAGGAAACACTTCAAAATCACCTGTTTCATGCAATATTTGGGTTTTAAATGATGTGTTGTGTTATATGTAAAAGTCAGTTTTTTGAACCTGGACTAGTTGATCTCGATGTCAAACTTTACGGAGTTTAATGCATAGATAGAAGAAGACTCATGACAAGAAAAATTGTTCTCTCACATAAAATCTTCCGAAGTTTCGGGAAACAGAAAGAAATTCTAGAAGATTCTGGGGCTCATTTTCGAGTTTCTGATTGAATTCTGAAAAAAAAAATTATTTTTTTCAATGCTCATTCTAGGCCCAGTAGAGATCAGATAGGTAAAAATTACTGGGATTCTGATTTAGTACTCAGGTAATTCTCGAGAGAGTTGTGGGGCTGATATGAGGCGATGTGGGAATTACCCGTGAATTTTGGGAGTTACACAGTCCAAATAGAGTTATAGCTCTATTTGGAGTGTTATAACTCTATCCCCGGTTTGGTTTTAGGGCTTTTGAATAGGCTCATTTTCTAATAGAACATTCAGAAATCCAAAAAAAATCCGAAATTTAATATTTTCAAAAAAGTATATGAATTTTTCAAGTTTTAGAATGTGTTCTATCAGAAAGGTTATTTGAAAACTCCAAAATTGTTTTTGTAGTCTGAAATTTATCCATTCGCCTGTATTATTACGGTTTCAAAATGACGTCACCAGTACTGGTTTTGAAATGATTGGTTTCGAAGTGTCTCGGTTTCGAAGTGACATTGTCTGTAGTGATAAACTGTATCATTGGTAGAAACCATGTAACCTGCTAAATTGTTCAAATTTTCGGGTTGGTTTACATTTAAAAGTTTCCGGAGAAAATGAGTCATTTTTACTGATAAGCGACCGAGTTGTAAAAATAAATAATTTTTCGGACTGTTCATTCGCTTGATGTGCCATCAGTCATTAGAAAATCGCTGAAAAACTTCTTCTCTTGAAAACAGTATTTTTTTTCGCAAAGAAAACCCCATTTCTGAACCTTTTGCATTCATTCTCAAGAGCAAAACTATTGGCCGTGGACGAGAATGTTGCCTTTTCTCTTCCATTCTCCTCACTTTCTTCAAACATAAACAAAGTTTTGTTTTACTTAACTTTTTTCTTTTGTTTTCCTTCTTTAAAAAATTTTTACATTTCTAGGAGAAGTAAATGTAAATTTGCGTTTCGAATGGCGGCCGAAGATATCGCCCGTTCACGAAAAGACCTTGAAGTGCTGTTGAAACAGATCTGCGACACGAAAAATGTAATTTTTTCATATTTTGTTTTCTCAATTATTTTTGAGTTTTTTTTCAGATCAAACAAGGCAATAATGACAACGGTGAATACGCAGAGCAAATGGATGTGAGTCTGGTGATTTCGAAAAAATAAAATCCAAAAACCGATTCCAGAATAGAATGGCATTGTTCAAAAAAGTTATCAATTTTGCACTGAACATGCAAGAATCAGATCAAAGTTATGCTATCCGTGTCTTTACATTCGATTTTCTCGAAACCATGGTTCCGAGATTGGAAAACGCTCGAGTAACGATTTTTCTTTATTCACGTCAATTAAAAAACATTTTTCAGTACTCGGACCAGGATTTCTGTGAAGAACTTAACGATGTTGAGTTGAAGCTTCGTCAGCTGATCTCTACCTGGAAACCAGAAGCACTCGAAGCTGACATCATTCAGGAGATGCGCTGAATTCATCTATCAACGTTTACTCTTCCGAACTGGAATTGACCTATTATAAAAATCTCATATAATATATTGTGATGATAATTCTTTCCGAGTGCCTTTATTCAATAAAATATATATATATATATTCTATTATTGTGTTAAAGTTCAATTTGTTGTTCTCCAAAGATCATTGAAACATGATGTGTGGTGCAGAATATTGGAAGGCGAGAGATAACAGAAATAGAGAGAAATAGAGACAACTAGGAAACAAAAATTGATTTTTCGACTATTTGTTTACCAATGAAAACTTTTTGTTCTATATAAATTGAGATCATTCCAATCAGGTTTCAGATTTCAATGGCACCCAAAACAGTTTTCATAGCCGGAGCAAACCGAGGAATCGGGCTCGGAATTGTTAAAGAGCTTTTGAAAGTGCCAGGAATTGAAACAATCAATGCTGGAGCTAGAAATGTTGAAACAGCCAAGGTTAGTAATTTTTTGGAATTTTAACTCTAATAAAATTTTTTCAGGAGCTCCAATCATTTTCCCAAGCTGATTCTCGTCTTCATCTCATTTCTGTGGATGTTTCTGAAGATGAAAGTTTGGAAAATTCAGTGAAACAAGTTGAGGGTCTTGTTGGCGATCGTGGTCTGAATCTTCTTATTAACAATGCTGGAATTCTTGAACACTACCGTACTACTGATCCTCCAAACAGAGCCACTGTTCTGAGGACCATTGATGTCAATGCAGTTAGTGCTTTACTAGCTTCTCAGGTATCTGAAAATATAATATATCGTATCATTATTGACTGAAAAATTACAGTACTTCCTTCCTCTTCTCAAAAAAGCTGCTGAGCAAACTCAGGGAGACGAATTCTCCGTTTCAAGAGCTGGAATTGTGAATATTGGATCAGATTGCTCTTCTCAGACATTGAATGTCACTGGATTCTGCAACGAAACTCTCTTAGCATACAAAATGAGCAAAACTGCCATGCTTAGTTTTGCTCGATCCCTTGTTGCCGATTTCAAGACATTGAATGTTCCAGTCCTAGTAACAACTATCCATCCTGGAAGGGTACTTACTGATATGGGAGGACCTCATGCCGAGATTACTGTAAGCCTTCTTAAGTTCTGGTAGAATCCGATCAAAAGAATTTTCTTGCAGGTCGAGGAGTCAACTTCGAAAATTGTGAATAGTCTAGACAAACTGAACCAATCTCACAATGGAGGGCTTTTCGATCGTCAATTAACAGCTCTGCCGTTCTAAATTATTTATTTGTTTCATTTTTGGGATTTCTTGTCTCTTTTCATTTGACTGTGAAAAATAAAAACGCTGCTTTGGATAGAAGCGGATGAAATATTATACAAATTCATGATCTTTTTAATCTATTCTACTTCTGTCTGGAAACCAGAAGCACTCGAAGCTGACATAATTCAGGAGAAGCGCTGGATTCATCTATCAGCATTTACTCCCTTCTGAGCCCGGAATTGGCCTACAAATCTCATGTAATATATTGTGATGGTGATCCTTTCCGAGTTCATTCAATAAAAAACCTATGTTCTGTTTTTGTTTTCAATACGTTGTTTCTCCTAGATCATTGAAACATGATCTGTGGTCCAGAATATTGTAGAAGACGCGAGACGAAAACATAACAGAAAATGAGACAAATAGAGACAACTGCAAAACACAAGAATTGATTTTTGGATTGTATGTTTATTTACTGATGAACACTTTTTGCTCTATATAAATTGAAGGAGGCAAGACATCAAAAAAACGTTCTCCAGATATTTTGTGCCATTTTGTTACCTAAACTGTCCCCAAACTTTTTGCTATCTCCCGCCTTTAACATCTTTCCGACCAGTTTTCAGATTTCAATGCCACCCAAAACAGTTTTCATCACCGGAGCAAACCGAGGAATTGGTTTCGGAATTGTTCGAGAACTTTTAAAAGTTTCAGGAATTGAAACAATCATTGCTGGAGCTAGAAACGTGGAAGCAGCCAAGGTTAGTTTCCAGAGATGTGTGGACTCCGGTTTTCGTATTCCGTATTCCGGACTTCGAATTTTTTTGACCGAATTCCGTTTCTCCAAAAAGTCATTCCTGACATCTCTGTTAGTTTCGTTTTAGTTTTTTTTCAGAATTTTGGCGCTAATAAAATTTTTCAGGAGCTCCAATCATTTTCCCAAGCTGATTCTCGTCTTCATCTCATTTCTGTGGATGTTTCTGAAGATGAAAGTTTGGAAAATTCAGTGAAACAAGTTGAGGGTCTTGTTGGCGATCGTGGTCTGAATCTTCTTATTAACAATGCTGGAATTCTTGAACACTACCGTACTACTGATCCTCCAAACAGAGCCACTGTTCTGAGGACCATTGATGTCAATGCAGTTGGTCCTTTAATGGCTTCTCAAGTAACTAAAAGAAAAAATTGTCTGATCGTAATTTATTGAAAATCACAGTACTTCCTTCCTCTTCTCAAAAAAGCTGCTGAGCTAACCCAGGGAGACGAATTATCTGTTTCAAAAGCTGCAATTGTGAACATTGGATCAGATTGCTCTTCTCAGACATTGAATGTCCCTGGATTCAACGAATACACCCATACAGCATACAAGATGAGCAAAGCTGCCATGCTTAGTTTTGCTCGATCCTTGTTGCCGATTTCAAGTCATTGAATGTTCCAGTTCTAGTAACAACTATCCATCCTGGATGGGTGCTTACTGATATGGGAGGACCCAATGCCAAGATTACTGTAAGCCTTCTTAAGTTCTGGTAGAATCCGATCAAAAGAATTTTCTTGCAGGTCGAGGAGTCAACTTCGAAAATTGTGAATAGTCTGGACAAACTAAACCAATCTCACAATGGAGGGCTTTTCGATCGTCAACTCAAGCCTTTGCCATTTTAAATTGTTTCCCAGTTGTTCTTTTTATTTTTCACACATCAAGCAGGTGCGCCTTCGGCGCGATTCAATCTGTTTTTTTCAAATGTTCGTCGCTTCGTTTCTCACTTTTCCTAAATAAAAGGGTCATGTAAATATATATATGTATTTTTCAATTTTTTCAAAAGTCTACAAACGGACAGACGCCTTTAGCGTTTTATTAATAAGGAAGATTTCTCTTACTATCATTGAACTGTAACAAATAAAACAGCTGATTTTGAAAGAATTGGATAAAAAATAAATTCAGCATTTTCTTCTTCAAAATCTGGCCCGCTTCTTCATCTTCTTTTGGTGAATGTTTCCGACGATCAAGACTTGGAACATTTCTAATAGCTGGTGAGGGGAGTCTAAGCGACCGCAGGTGTGGCAAAAATGGGTGGGCGAGTTGAGGCTGAAAACCGCTGATGGGTCAATGATGGTCCGTCGGCTCAAAAATCTGGACACAATTAATTTTTTTGAGATTTTTGACAGAATCTTTCTTATATATAAAACGCTAGAGGCGTCTGTTGGTCCCCCTGTCAGTCTGTTGACTTTTGAAACGCTTGAAAAATAAGTATTGATTACGTGACCTTTTAAGAAAACATGAGAAGCGAAACGACGAACCAAAAAAAAACTAGGTTAAATTGCGCCGAAGGCGCACCAGCTTGCTGGTAGCTAACAATAAGAAATCAAATTCTAACGAACGTTTTTCGAACTTTTCTCAGAAACCTCTCAGTTATTCTAAACAGACGAATGGCGGCTGATCTGTGTCGGTGGGCTACTGACCAGTGAAAGTGGGAAGTGATTGAAAAAATAATGCGAATTTTGAAGTTGAAAAAACATTTGAAGACTACAGTATTGTCATGAACCTGGATAGCCTGAGCTAATCAAGGATGCTTTCAATTGCCTGCCGTCTTGCTCAAACTATAACTAAAATTTTGAAACATTTATTTTTTTAAATTTCAAGTTGACAAATATACAAAATTTTAACATAAGTAAACCTATAAAATTTCGACATCATTTATGTTTTTTGGTTCCAATGTTTTCTACAGCCCAAGCTGCAATTGGAGTACTAGCGACGCCAGCGAGAATTCCAAGCATTAGGAAAATTGATGCAAGCATTCCACTCAATTTTTGATATCTGGCAGGCACTTCTCTGAAACAAAAAGCTGGGATATCGAAAACAAACTAATACTTACACTGGAGTGTAAATCAATGCTAAGCTGCTCATATAACCACAAGTCAACGCCATAATCGTGCATCCAGTCGTGAACCACCACTCGTTTTCAAATAAAACTGGCCATAATCGGGTATCTGGACGATAATTACAGAAAAGATAATATGGTATGAAAATAGTTCGAAGTACAACTCCTATCCAGAGATATTTGGCAGATGGCTGGAAACGGATGTTTCAATTTTAAATAGTTAATTGGAACTCACAAATTGAACATAGTTGGCTAGAGAGGATCCAATCCAAGCAAAGAGATTAAAGTTGAGAAAAGTAGTAATTGGGTAAAATAGATTATCTGAATAACGGAAAAATATTTTTAATTTTTAAAAAGATTTCCAAACCTCCAAAAACAGAAGTCTTATTATGAGCGGGATCCGAATAGACACTGTCAGTCATCATTGCGGGAAAGATGAGAAGAGAGACAAAATAGACGTAAAAGTTGTTGAACAATTGGACCCAACACTTAAAGCTACGGATTGAAAACTAAATTTTAAACATCAAAATCACCATTCTGAAACACTCCCAATACTGTCGCAGGGATGGATTATCCACTGAATCTTCGGATCTTGCTTCCACCCCTTTTGCCATGTAGTATTGATAGAATGGCTGAAATTCCGGATTCGGCTAAAAGTTTGAGAGAATAAATATACTTACCAATCGAACTAAAAAGTAAAGAGAGCATAGACAAACAATCATGAATGCTAAAGAAATACTGAAATAGAGAAGTGCATTCAATTCGATGTCGTTTGGAGAGACTGCAATATTTTTAGTTTTAATTTTAATACGGTAGAACCTGTAATAAGGGCCCCACATTGTCAAGCTTAAGCTGATTCTTCTTGGCTCTCGTGCTAGATATCAAAATGTGTCAACTGATAAACTGTTTATAATAATATCGCAAACATTTCATCAGTTGACAACTTTCTTCATACCTTTAACAGGAACCGAGAAAATTTGCGTTAAAGTTATAAGCAAGCGCTCTTCTATTCCAGGTTTGACGGTATTTTGCCTTTTTTAACTCACTCAAAATGGTCATAATGCTGAGAACGGATGTGAAAACTCCGCATAAATTGTTTCCAATAACCAGAGAGTTAATATAGTTATCTGGGAAATCAGCAACTATTCCGTATACTGAATTCTGGTAGATTCCATTTGCCAAGTTCATTGCCATGATAATGACAAGCGTTACGATATAAAACCAAGTGACAGTATTTGGTGATGGGGTTACGAATATGGCCATAATAACAATCACAGCAATAAGAAAACAGTTGACTATCAAAGGGATAACAACTCGGAGCATCATGAATCCTCTGAAATATCATCTAGAAAATCTACCGTAAACCCTTTATTAGGCGGGCCACCTAACTTTAAAGATTGAGCTAATGTTTCTGAGTTTCTGTTGAAGATAGAAAAAAATGGTCAACTAATAAACAGCTGGAACATTTTTGATATCTCACACAGAAACCGAGAAAAATCAGATCCAACTTGACACCGTGGGCGCCCTTCTATTACAGGTTTTACGGTATGTTTTCTGTGGAATGACTTACACCATAACAACAATTGTATTCAGAATCATAATTCCAACATTTGGAATTTGAGAAGTCACTCCTATAATTGACATAAAACTATCTTGATAATTTGTATTATTGAACCAATAGTCATGATAGTATTGAGGAGCAATTGTGATGAACATGTTCCATGACATGAGCATTCCCATTCCATGCATTGTGAATATAATGTATACCAAATACCATCTATCAATTGGTTTACTGACTTTCCGTCCCCAAGTGTCCCGAGGTGTCACTAGTCCACTTTCCGAATTGTTGACTGATGACTCTTCGGATGTTTCGTCGATCATTGTGCTGAAAATTTGAGCCAATTAAGGATTTCTAGGGACGCGACTCTTCAATGAAATAAACGGCAATTATTTGGTTTTCGTACTGTCATTTGACCTCATAAAAAAAAATGGCAGAGATAACAAGAACAATAGTTACACCATTGTTTTCTGTTCTTCTCGTGGGTATTCGATCAGAGAGAACAGGTTCTAGAGGATGCAGACAGTTGAACGAATTCAATTTTTTTTTTCATTTTGATCCTTTCTTCTGACACTATAATAGATAGAACGGGGCAAGAGAAATAAAGAGCAAAAATCGACATGAGTCAGAAAAGCGAGAGAGTGAAAACGTTTCAAAATGTTATGTTTAAAACATCTAGATCATTCCAAAAGAGTAGTTTAAACTTGAAGAAAAAAACAAACTACGGACACATTTCGTGCACAATTGTCTTGAGAAAAAACTGATAACACAAAGTTCACAGACTCTTCATCAACACAAAATTTCTGACTTCTCTAGTTCTCTTTGCAATCGACCCATTATTTTTCTTTATTTTTCTTAATAATTTCGAAAAAAAACCATAGAACGTAGACAAAAAACACATAGAAACCCATAAAGAATAGTTGAAGAGGTGTGAAATTTTTGCAGTTTGTTATCAGCTCGAAAAGCACCACCAATCCGCTTTTTTTTTGAAATTTTTCAGAGGGGGGGGGGGTATCAGAATGTGTGACTTATCACCCCTCTTTCCGCTTTAGACAAGTATTTGGAAAAGTTGAAATATTTACCTGTTTAGTGGTTTCATTTCCATTTGGTCCATTTTATGAGTTCGGGGGTCTGAAGGCACCAAAATAGGTTTGATGTCGTTGCTCAAGTGGAAGTGTGAAAACCGGAAATCTGAATAAGGTTAAATGGATTTTTATGACACGAAAAGGAGAATAACTTGGTCAAGGTAAAAGTAAATATATCCGCATTTCGTGCTTTTCAACGTTCTTTGAAAAGCCAGAAAACAGGAACAATTACCGTTAAACCTAAAAATAGAAAGGACCCCAGCAACTGTCTAGTTTAAGCTAGATTATCTCGATTCCTATGCAAGATATCAAAAAGCCGGTAACTGACAAACTGTTGGTGATATTATGATAACTAATTTATCAGTTGACTACTGTTTAATATATTTCACAAAAATCGAGATAATTGAGCTCAAAGTGGACGGGATTTCATAATTCATCTTTTGAAATTTTGCTAACCTAATTTCTTATTGTTACCGTAGTAGAGCAGCCTGGAAAAATGTAATGAGCAATTTCCACTATTCTTCCTGTTCCAAGAAAAATGCTCCATTATCTGACCTGCTCCTAAAAACCTGAATTTCGAGAAGAAACCAAGAGAATCCCCTTTATGGATTTACAAAAAAAAATAGTAAAAATCATTTTAAATCAAAAATTTATTAAACAACGAAAGAGAAAAAACCAGGTCTATAAAAATTGCAAAATCACTGGTAAGAAAAAAGTAGAAAGTATTTTAATGGGAAATTACAATAGGCACCCGTATCGATCTGCCTCCATAACAAATCTTCTCCAATATTGTGCATTTCGGAGGGAATTCACGTTTCCAATAATGATTGTAGCTTGTTTGGCTCTTGACATGGACACATTGATACGGTTAGGGTTTGCCAAGAATCCGCTGATCATCTCATTTGTGCAACACAAGATCATAACTTGTCTCTCCATTCCTTGGAAAGAATCCACGGTTCCAATTTTGATATCTTTGTTTTTAATCGTTTCCAATAGCCGTGTAGTTTGTGCTTTGTAGAATGATATAATTCCGATGTCTTTCGGTTGGATAGTGCAGTTCGGATGCGAGAAAATTTGGTCGATGATGCTGCTCACCATCAGAGCTTCGACATGATTGAACATAGATGTATGGTATCTGGTACTGGGTGTACCATTGTGTCTGACCATGATCGGGCATTCGTGATTTGGCCAAAAGTCAGGACGGCTTCTCATGAATTCATCACGTTCATTCGGTTTTACATTGGTAACAAGTCGTCCTCCATAGAAAAGATCTCCAAGCATAGCAGTGATGAACGGATGACATCGGTAGACATTGCGAAGAACGAATTGAGGAAATAATCGATTCTTAATTGCTCGCTCCAAAGTGTTTCCAATACCGAATCTCTTCAAGTTGGTCGTGAGCAATGTGTCACAGTACGGAGGCAGTTGTTGGATATCTCCGACGAGTCCGAAGTCTGCATAGGGAAAATTGGAAATCACTTCGATCAAAGCAGATTCTGGCATCTGACTAGCTTCATCAAACTGGACTGTGTCGATTCCTTTGCTCAGAAATGGGATCACAGATTGAAGGGAATCGGCAGTTGTGATAACGATCTCTGGATTGAACGACTCGAAGAAAAACTCGCTGAGCCTTTCCAAATCCAGCCTTTCTACAACTGGGCAGTTACTGAAGAAATGTTGGCACACTGGATCCATTTCTTCGACTTTGAGAAATTGATACTCTTTCAAATATTTTGCCATCTCAATCATCAGCATCGTGTCGTTGATTTCTTTTTCTCCAGTGACATACGGGATGAAATACTTTTGCATTTGCACTGGGAAATCCAGCTCAGTTCTTGATTCATCGGGCAATTCCATCCAACTGCTTAATGACACGTATCGAACAACTGTACACAAATCGGAGAAACGATTTGTGATGTCCACCAAGTTGACTGAGGCAAAGTTACTCTGCGTAACCAGAAGCTGTTGATGTAGATCCCTCTCGACAGTGCGATATCGAAGAACACTGTAGTAGGCTGCTGTCGCAATCGTCATTGATTTTCCACATCCAAAAGGAGAGTTGGCTATGGTAATCGGAACTTTTCGGATGATACTATTCACATACTCATTTTGATCCACGTTCAAACGAATCGGATTGGCTCCCGGAAACTCGTAATGAACCCCAAAGAGGTGTTGTTCTTGTGGCAGACATGGTCCTCCATATAAAGCCGTTAGAATTCTCGCTCCATTTGATCCATGCTCCATCTTATCCACGAACCCTTCGACAAGTCCTTTTCCATCAGGCATTTCTCTCTGTGACACCATATGCACCTCGTCGGTGAACTCGAAGGCAAATTCTCTGGATAATCTAGCTGATATGTAGAGCATGTCTCCAAGAGGGATCACATTTTCAATCACGGCGTGGGCATCTCTTCTGGAGCATCCAATTGAGATTCTTGTATTTTGTTTCCACAGGGATTCTGGTTTCGGGTCCGAAATGTTTTCAATTTTGAAAGTGACAACTTCCTCAAGCTTTTGTGGATTGATCATTTTGAACGAGCGGCAATCAAAATTTCCAGTTAAAACCGCGTAGCTTGCTGATGCTCCCATAAGTGCACAGAACTCAACAACACCATTTGGATCCGGATTCGCAATGGAATATGCACAATGACCAATGTGCATCTGATTTGTGAAGTGTGGGCTAAACTCATAATGAAAGATGGTTCCAGTGGACCATGGATATCTCGTGATTTCTTTTGAAAGTCCCAGCAACTGAGTCTCCTGCATCTTTGAGTGGCCTGAAGCCAATTCAGGTACTTGCATAGCAATGAATCCACTTCCAACAAACACAAATGTTCCACGGTTTTCCAAATTACCATTATATCCTGTTTTGACAGTTAACGGTTCCCGCCATTTGAGTGCAACTGCAGCTCCATTATTCAAAAATACAAATGGAACATTATCGAATCTCTGTCTCATCAGAACTGTCATTCTCACGACCATCCAGACGCATGGTGACTCCTGATTCATATCTGATGTCTTCCAGCATCCCATCTCCCTTGGTATCCATGGTTGTTTTGCCAATTCACTGACAGCCACAAGATCTCCCAGTGCGAGGTATCCAATACAAGAGTATTCCGATGCATTCGTTCTGGTTCGAGAGTTTACTTCCAAGAAACGAAGATCTCCTCGATGAAAAGCGTGAACATTCAGATGACAAGCAAGTAAAATATACTTGTCTCCTTTATCCGCAATGACCCGGTATATCGCATGATCTCCGTCCATTTTGATGAATTGCCGGACCGCATCCATACCGTATGGAGCAAATGGAAGCTGAGCAAAAGGTGGTGGTCGAAGGTTCCAGACATGAGTCTTCGCAATGAATCGGAGAGCTTTGTGATGTGTGTAGTTATCCAGAAGAGCTTTAATATTCAGTGCGAGATTGTATTCTTCTGAAGATTTCCGTATGTCTGGGTAGTACGGTGTGAATGGATGAGTCTTTGTTTCAACGGCGAGCATTTTTCGAAGAGTTCTTTCTCCTGAAAAAATTTAAGAATTAGGAAAAGAGTCATTGGGTGGTTTGAGAAAACCTTATAAAAATGTATTCTAGATGTTCATTTCATAGGTTGCATCACTTTATTGTAACTGTTCTAAATTATGATATTAAAAAAGGAATGGTCTCTGACCGAAAGGAAAACACCTAAATACCGTGAACACTCGAATAGAGTACCATCCACACTTTGAACTTTGAGCCAATTAACCTCGGCTCCTGTCCAAGGTATAAAAACGTTTTCAACTGATAAATTGTTAATCATAATTTCACAAACATCTTATCAGTTGACAATTTTCGATATCTTTTGAAAGAACTGAGATAATTGAGCTCAAAGTGCATGTAGATGGTTGGCTTCTGTTAGAGCATTTACGGTATGCTTCACTTGAAATTGTGATTTTTTCGAGAAATGCTATCTAACAAGAATGAAAACACCTACTCAGGTATACTATATCATTATTTCGAGAAAGTCAAACTTCTAGAAGGAACAATTACAAAGTTGAAAAATTGAAAAACAGGTCAAATTTGTCTGTTTCTTGTTTCAGAATTTGTTAAACAAGGGGCTCTTGTAGTTGAAAAACTTTTTAAAAATTCATCATAATAAGATAAACCGCTTGAAATTTCATTCAAACAATTTCAGAATTACAAAAAAATGTTTCTTAAAAAATTTTTTGAAATAAAATTTCAGAGCACTCTTACAATTTTGATCAACTTTTGAGAGTGCACGCTCTCCCACAGAACAATTCCGAACTGAAATTTAATTTTTTGATCTACAGAAAAAAGTTTGGCGCGATCACAATTGCAGGTCTAAAACCATAATTTCAGAATTTTTTATCTGATTTTGTGGAGTTCCAAGATGATTCAAATAATTCTTAAAAATTAATTAGTGGGTATAGATTCATGTATGAACGTTTTCCGGAAAAAAAAAGGCAAAAATGGTCATTTTGAAAGGTTTGTAGAGAAAAGATCTATCGTCTCTTTCGGTTGTTGGACATTTCTAGGAGTTCTATAGCTCAAATAAACCGCAATTATTTTCTCTACATTTTCTATGAATGAATTTTTAATTTGTCTGATAAAACTGTTTTTATAATTCAAAAAACTCATGAAATTGCACAAAATCGCATTTCTGCGTTGTTTTTTGATTATAAAAAAAGTTTTATCAGACGAATTGAAAATTCGTCTATAGAAAATGTAGAGAAAATAATTGCGGTTTTTTTGAGCTATAGAACTCCTAGAAATGTCAAAAACTGAAAGAGGAGATAGATTTTTTCTGTAAAAAACTTTCAAAATGACCATTTTTGACATTTTTTCTTTCGGAAAAGGACCATACATGAATCTATAACCACTAATTAATTTTTTAAGAATTATTTGAATCATCTTGAAACTCCACAAAATCAGATAAAAAACTCTGAAATTTTGGTTTTAGACCTGCAATTGTGATCGCGCCAAACGTTTTTCTGTAGATCAAAAATTAATTTGCAGTTTGGAATTGTTCTGTGGGAGAGCGTGGAGTGTTAAATTTAGAAATTTTTAAGTGAAAAAGTCAAAACATTTCTTTCCCGGAACTAACCTCTCCTACAAGAATTTCAATCGGCTCTCTGTTGTTGTGCTCTTCTGTTCTCTGGCGTGGAACAAAGGTTGGACAGTTCAAGTGCCTTTGAGAGAATGTGGGAGTGGTTCTTGGGTCGCCTCTGAAATCACAAAACTGTTTTTTAAAGAATGATAATTCAAATCAACCTGTGCTGATGATTGTTGTTCTGACTTGCAGCAGATCTCCCATTTTGGTTCCCATTCATTGAGATTGAATCTGCAAAAAGTACAAGAATAAAGGTCTAGGGTTAAAAAAAGAGAATGAAAAAGAAAAAGAGAAGAAAAAGGGGAGACTGAGGAAAAGGAGGAAAAACGGAACGAGGAAAAATGCGAGGGAAATGAATAGCTGGTGAATTTATGAGTCATTCACATAAACTCTGGGAGGGTCATTTTCCATTTACTACAGGTCTAGACCAGAACACACAATTCATGCTGAAAAATGAAAAAAGACAGAAGGACGATTTATCATTTGGCAGTTCCGTTTTCTGAAAGATAGGAGGAATACACTTTCTATAGAGAAGATAAGAAAATTAAAAGGAGTTTTAGAGAAAAAGGACTCATACCTACATACTGATTGATTAGGAATTTGAAATATGGTGAAATACCAATTTGGATTGGTGAGAAAAAGAAAAAAAAAGAGATTTAATTAAAAAAGAAAACCGACGCATTGCTCTTTTCTGAGTAGATTGAATATATGTCTTTCATTTTCGCGGTCATTGATTTTGGAGAAAATTGCACTTTTCGAAACTATTCCGGTGTATTAATTTCGAACATCTGCCACCAAAGACAGCTGTAGACGATTAGCTTAAGGTGTCAGGGAGAACACGACCGGAATTAGTACATAGTGGCTCCTCTTCATGTCATCGCGCAAGAAAAAGACCAAAATGTCTATTCATATTCAAACTGAAAAGTCGTTTTTTATTGTTACGAAAAAAGAAGAAGAAGGGGACTAGCGGCAACGTTTGATCTACCACTTTGAAAAGGTTGAGTGTGTAGAACATGCATTCTTTTTTATCAGTTCCTAACTTTTTTGCATCATGATGAATTCAAAAAAATTAATTTATTAGCTTCGGCCTAGAAAATTTTTTTGCAAGATTTGAAAATAGAAAAAAGAAGGGGTAGATGAAATGGCCGATAATCTTACGCGGAGGAAGAAGAAGAAAAAAGAACAGAAGAAAGGAGAAGGAAAAGAAATCCTTCTTTTTCTCTGCTTGACTCTCAGCCGTTCAAATTCAAAAGTCCGGACGTCCGCACTTTTGGTGTATGTATGTGTGTATGTCAGGTTTTTTCTTCCACAGCATTTGCGCTCCACTGCTCACAGTTAAGAAAGAGCAAGAAAAATGGTTGAACTATGAAGTTAACGGGAACTAGAAATATATATTAGTTTTTTAATGAAGTCAACGAGAATCGAAAAAAAGAAAATTGTAGTAACTTGGATAAAGAATTCTGGATTTATAATGATGTCAGGGCCAATCAAGCAGGATTACAGTATACCTTTGAACGAAATTTTCCGTATACCTTAACAGTATACCATTGAAATTAATGTTTTAAATTATCTAAAAGTGCACCTAAAATAACATCTTCCATACAGCATCGGTCCATGAGAAAAAAAAACATATTTTTCAGTTGATTTTCCACCATTTTGATCATTTTCAGGAGTCTGGAGCTCGGCTCTCAAGATTCCAATCAATTTGGAAACACTGGAGGGTGTAAAACATACCTAGATTAATAACTTTCCATTCACAGAATTTTTTCAAAAACTCCTAGTTTTTCAGCTATTTGCCGATTTCTGAAAGACACCTTTTTTGCCTTTTTTTTTGTACTGAAAACGTGAAAAATGAGGTGTCTTTCAAACATCGACGAGAAAATCAACTTAACAACTTTTTTGTATATCTTATGGACCGGTACTGTATATATTCTATGTCTCTTTTTTTCCGAATGAATATAACAGTTTCGTTTTCATTCTGATTTATCTGTATCTCTTCTTTTTCTCACTTCTTTTTGACCATTTCGAAATTCGTGACGATGAGAGGAGCATTGAGAGCTTATGAAAATGAGTATTTCTATCATTCATTGCAAAACGGACAAAATAAAATATGCGAAATATGGCTGACGATGGGCGGTGTGTATTCAATTCAATTCAACAATTCAACTTTTATATATTTTGGACGGAAAACTGAATCAGTCAGTCAGAGGAACAGAGGACTATGTTGATTCCATTGATTATAGTTTTGTCTGTGATTCGTCAAGCCTCCACTTTGGTCACTTGTTCAAGATGTGAAACTGGAACTGAAGAGTGAGTTTTTAAAAAAGATTCTAGAAACTAAGATTTTGAATTTTGGAATTGTATTCAAAAAAGAATAATTTTCCAGCTTCTGAATTTGGAAAAGAGTACAATAGTGGTTGATCAGAAGCCTGTTCAGAGATTTTTTTAATGAATTTTATGTTTTACATAGTATACAGTGCGTAACTAGTCTCTAAAGTACAAGATCCACAAATGCAAAAAAGGGATAATTTCAGATGCAACTACTCTAGAAGCACATGCCGTGGTGACTTCTGTTACCATGCGCAATATTATTATGGAAGCGAAACGATGTCAACTATACAAAAAGGATGTGTAATTGGGGAGGTTGCGCCAGAAGGATGCAGAGTCAATCACCATGGAAATGTGATGTGTTTCTGCTCCGAGTGCGTCGTTTTCCTTCTCTCATAAACTAGTCTAGGCTGAAGGGACTATGATTGCTCAGCAAATTTTTGGCACAGGATACGAGTTCAAACACCTCCGTGTCCCTTTCAGAGTGCCCTTGGAACACTTTACCAGTGCCGCTCGCAGGTGGTGTGTATCTAAAGTGGCGTTGCCGTGCCTAAAATTTTCTGAGATATTAAAAGAAGGGACGAATTGGTTCAAGCCACTAGAATTCAAAAATGGCAGATTGCACAAGAAACCCCTTTTTTCAGTGCGGATTACTGTAACTCGAATTTCACATCAATTTCTGAAATAGCAACCACAATTCTTCCTGTTCAAACTTGCCAACCAGAAAAACTGAACAACATGCCAAAACCAAGATGGACAAAGCCATGTGCAGCAAATTACTGCACGTACATTGCTGCAAAGGTATCATCTGTTCAAATACAGTAATCTAACAATTTTTTTGAGACCCTCATGGAAGTGGACAATGCTAACTACACATGGTCCACTAAAGATTGTAGTTTGGAGAATGAATTCGATTTTTTCCCAACTCTCACCGTTTTCAATTTCTATCCAGGAACATGCGTTTGGTTGAATTATGGTGGTCAACCTGACACACATGCTTGCTATGGATCTGATGTAAAAACTTGGATCTTTTATTTTCCATTATTTTTTCATATTTCAGTCTCTCGATTCTACATTAGTTTTTGATACAACAACAGCTACCACAGAATGCCACGTAGATTATTTCAATCCACGACTTCCGTATACGAAGTCTTCCGGCTCGTGTTTGGGACAGTTCTGTTTCATCAGTGCAACATCAAGAGGAGAAGTATTCAGAGGATGTGTGAACAGCCAGACAGTTGAGGGTGCCACTCCATTGAAGGTTCAATTTTTTCTAATTAGTCAAGGGAACATGAAAAAAGGTTTTTTCTCAAAATTTGGTTCATATAAGCCTCTCGAGGAAGTGGACGCTATGGTGACGGGCCGCCGTTCAGCCGACAATCGATCGTCCGTTCAGAATTGAAAAAAAAGATTTATGACAACAATTTGGACCGAAAACTTTCTGTATCTCCTCCTTTAAACTAAAAAATGTATTTTCAGATTGGCTATACCCGTGCATACACTGGTCTGGAACAATGGATTTGCAGTAAATCCTACTGTAACGCTGATTTGAAATCTGCTGAACTTTCATGGCCACCAGAGTTATATTTATACAGGTTGTGGTTATTGAAAACTGAAAATCAATTTTTCTAATTTCAGAAATATATCAAATCTCCGAGAGTTCAATGTTTTCTACATCGACGCCGCTAGCTCGTCATCGATTTTTCTTGCCATTCCCCTCGTTTTTCTGATTAATTATTGCCTTTTCCATTGATTTAAATTCTTGTCTGTTATCTCTTTCTGCTCTTTTCCAAAACCATGCTTTCACTTATGAACAAATTTATTAATTATGTTTCAAATTATACTTCAATTCAATAAAAATGCACCGGAGACTTTTTCGCTCACATTGTTTCATTCTTCATCGATTTTTCTCTGAACCCATACTATTTTCTTTTGTTCTTCTTCGATGAGTTTTTTCAGCTGAAAAATATATTTAGAAGAGAATAAATTTTATATTGGGCTTACCTGCAAGACAGCATGAGTCATCATGAAACTGACATTATTATGACTTGGAACCACCAAAGTTACAGATCCATCTAGATCTTTCTCGATTTTTAGATCCTGGAAAGAATATATTGATTTCTGACATTTGAAAAATCAGTTACTTTTTCGATAAGCTGCTTTGCTTCCTTTGAACTAATTTTCTCTCCACAAATATGCTCATTCACATCCTTCAATTGTTTCACTGACTTGAAACGAATCTTGACTAGAATTGGGAACATTCGACACCTCTTCAATCTATCGATTGCTGTTTGGTCTACTTGTAGAACACAGTGAAGTCTGGAATAGTTCCCATAATTAAGAGGTGTTCTTCTCTGAAATAACACTAACCCTTGAGCAGTAATATCCATAATATGAGCTGTTGATATGACATGATACAGGTCGTAGACATCATCATTTTGTTTTGAATCAATCACAACTTTATCCTTCAGCAATGCGGATACTTCATCGAAACTTGCAGTCAGAGATTCTCTTGCCACAATCGAGAACTTGTCAGATTCATCAACCAACATTTGAAGAAACGGTTCTACAACTGCTCCGAACAACAGAACAGGTCTCTTCACCTTTGTATCCAACTTCTCCACCCATTCGTATGCTTTCTTTGGGAATGGATTCGCATATTTATTGGCACGAATCGCTTGATAAACTGTTGTAGAACTTGGAATAGCTCCATGATCTCTCTGCCTGCCCTCCTTATCCACTTTCCATGCCATCCATCTTCCCGTTTTGCCCAGTATCCATGTATTGTCTACGAAGACAACGTCTCCACACTTTAATTCCAGTTCATCCTTATTCTCCATTGGTCTGTCTATATTGACTCGAAGGAAGAAGCTGTCTCCATCGGCTCCTAATCTTAAACGGTTCAGACGATCTCCTCCATCTTGGACAAGCAGGCTTGTCAGTTCAGTGTCATCTGCTAGCAATGTGTTGATCGCACACTCCAATGTTGTATTCCGAACACAGTTTCCGTCGATCGAAAGGATAAGATCACCTTCCAACAGTTCAGATCCAAGGGATTTCTCAGCAAGAATTCCTATTGCATTCCCTCCACACAACTTCACATCACACCTCGGAACTTCTACAAGTCTCGGTTGAGATGATCGATTGACAAGTAAAGATTCTGAATGGTGGTTCCCACGTGGCATATGGGGATATTTCTTTGTAGATCTTCCTCCTTCTGCGTAGCTGTGCATTGCACTTCCAGTGGTTGAAATAGAAAAATCACTCCCATCTTTACTGATGCAATGACGTGGAGGTGCACTGTTTCCGCCAGTCAAACTGCATGCAGCTGAAATGGATAAAAGATTGTGCTGATTTTTAGTAGTATCAACTTACAATTATTAGGATACTGATTTGAGAAACTGGTACTTGGGAGACGTATCGAATTACTCGAAGACATTACCGAGGATAATGAATCATCTCGGATTGTTGGGTAGGCTGGAGGATGAGATGGACTGTACACCTGTGATCTTCTGTGTGGTTTCCCTTCCATTATGGTAGATGATGTAGGTGTGAAATGCATTGAGTATGGTCTAGCATCTGACGTTGTTGTATTCGAAGAGAAGCTCGCCCATCCCACCCGCTCCCCCGGTGTGCCGATGATATTTGGGACATTGTTCGTTTCTGTTCACTGTTCTGGCGAATCAGTCGTCTGAAACACTTTTCGATAGAAGGAAGACAAGCTCAGGTAACTTACCTGACAGGAGAAGTAGGCGTACTGAATATTGTGTTCTTCGGAACATAAACTGGGACACCTTCAATGTTAGTTCCAGCGAAAACGAGACTTTTCTCATTAACTGATGACGGACTCCATGGAACAGATGGCGCTGCAGTTGAAGAAGAACTAATTTCTAAATGGGCGGTTGATCTAAACATAAAGATGCTGTAAAGAAGAACTTTAAAATAGGAACATACGCTCCATTGAATCTTTTATCCAATGTGTCCAACATTAGTTTTGAGTGATCAGCTACACTATTCGAGTATGTAGGAGCTCGTAGTGACCCATATCGAACCAATGGGCTCACTGATGCAGGTGACGCTTGTGGCATTCGTAAAGAGCCTTGGCGAAGCAAAACTTGGTCATTCGAGCGGTCGATATTGGCTTTTGCAACTACAGTTCGCTCTTTATCAGCGCCACCATTTCGACTGAACCACTAAAAAACGGAGTGTAATTTCTTTTTCGTATTTGGGAAGTTCCTCACCCTCGAAAAAATTGTAGGTCTACTTTTATCTTTTCCATTCTGATCTCCCCTTTTTGTTGACTGCAGGATTCCAATGACAAGTGGTTCACGAGCGTTTTTAATCAAAAGTTCTGCATGTTTAGCATCGTAAACAGGAGTGTGCATCACATGAACCACTCTCTGACCTGGAGCCAATCCACTTCTAGAAGCAGCTCCATTTGGTTCACAAGAGTTGATGAATACTCCATTTGCAAGTTCAAGACCTACTCCTGGAATTTCAGAGATACTGAAAAATGAATCAACAAGACACTCACCATAATTTAAAGGAAGACAGACATCACTGATTTTGTTACAGTTGGATCTTCTTCTAATGACTAGATGAATGTGATGTGAGTTTGATAACATTCCCATGACGCTTCTCTCATCCATATCGGTCACAGAAATATCATTGACCATCATAATATGATCTAGCTTTTTCAATAGATTTTCAAAAGGAGATCCATGGGCAATATGTCGAACATAAATGGGTCCATGGACGATTGATCCATCATCTGTACGACCTCCACCAAGCATTATTCCGAGATTCGGCTTATTGAATGGCTGAAAATAAACTGCAAAATTGAAAAAAAAACCACGGAAACTCTTACCAAGTTAACTTGAACTGAATGCGTATTCCAAATATCAACAATAGCATCAACTGAAGTTTGTTTACATCTCATAAGTGCTTCATCCCTCTCTTCGGCCAGTCTGATTCCATTTTGTTCTACTTCAGATAGTCTCGCGAGTGCTGCATCTCTTCTTGCATTTGCAGTTACAGTCTCTTCCACGTTAACTTGCAGAAGCCGTCGGGTGTTTTCCAATTTCTTCTTTAATGCTGCCACTTCTTCTGACTCCTATAAAATATTTATGATTGAGCGTACAGAAAATCGGATCTGTGGATAAGAAAGGCTGATGGAGGCGACCATGGCCGAACTACCGTAATTACCAATTTTTAAAAATAAACTTGGACCGAAAATTTCAGGTTACTGTGGTTTTACTCGTTTTTGTACGAGCATCATACCTCTTTCATTTTTTCGATCTGCTTTTGAAGACGTTCTCGTTCTTCCAACTGCCGAGAGTTCTCTTCTAAAACGATACTTCTCTCCTGCATCGTTTCTTCATAATCCCGTTGAAGTGCTTCATACTGTAACCTTAAGCGTTTATTCGCTTCTTCTATTTCCATTTTGTATGTTTCACTTCTGAATACGATTTTTTTAAATACAAATTTTTAATTTTTCTAACGAAACCTGTGTACTTGTATCTGCATACTATCAATTTTCTCCTCAAACTCATCAATTTTCCTTGCAATTTCATCTCGCTCTTCTGTTGCTTTCCTCACTTTTTCCATCCATTTTCCTTCCACTTCTCTTATTTCCTTCTCCATTTCTTCTTCTATTCGTTTCCTTTCTGATTTCTCCAACCTCAATTGCTTCACCAACTTTTCCTTCTCTTCATTTTCATATTTTTCTTCATTCTCATTTTCATCCTCTTCAACTGACAACGACGGTTTTCCGTCCACTTCTACCATATAGAATTCTGAAGAAAAAGACGAGAATAAATGGGTCAACTGGCGGACGGACGAAAGAAGACGAATTCGACGACGGAAAAGAACTAATTATAGGAGAGAAAAGATAGAAACCGGTCGGAGAAAACGAAGAAGACAAACGAAGACTAATATCACATTGATTTGTTCGTTCGTGTTGAAAAAAAGAAACAACGAAATCGGAAATTTCTTCAATTAACAGAATTGGTTGAAATTTGAAGGTTACGGTTAAGACCCACAGAAAAAAATGTCTAGTACTCTTGACAAAAATAGATGGGAATACAGCAGCCGATCTTTGAGATTCAAAAATCCTGAACGAGTTTTCAGACTTTTAAAACTGAAAAATACTAACTTTGTACTTTGAGCCAATTTATCTAGGTCCCTGTGGAAGATATCAAAACGTAATCAATTAACGAAATGCTTATTATAATATCAGTTGATAGCTTTAAAAATATTGGCTCAAAGTTAAAAGTCATGTTCTTACAGGCAGGGATGTTCGGAATGATCTTTTCGGAATTTTTCGGAATGTAGAAAATTCCGATTTTGAAAGTTTCGGAAATTCGGAATCTCGGAATATTCCGATTTTTAAAATTTTCGGAATTTCGGAATTTTCGGAATGTTTTAAAATTCAAATTAGAAATTAGAAATTCCATTTTCCCATCACAAAAACGCAAAAAAACTTGTGAAAATTGAAAGAAAGATTTCGGCAGCGCAAAATACTATCAAAAGTAATTCAGTTCGAGACCTGCAAACGAATTTTCCTCCGACGGACCATAGTCAGAAAATTTAGACTCCGAAAAAAAAGCTTCGGAAAAATTCCGGTCGGAATTTAATTCCGAAAAAATCTTTCGGAATTATTCCGACCGAAATTTCATTCCGAATTTTTTTCTCGGAATTATTAAAGGCGGAATATCATTCCGAAAATGGTCGGAATTTTCGGAATTCCGAGTTCCGTTTCGAACATCCCTGATTACAGGTCATGCGGTAGGTAGTCTTATAAGTTGAAACTATAACAAAACTTGCTGTTTTCAGAGATTCAAAGAAATCAAAAGAATTCAAATCAGAAAAAACTTCGATAACGAGTACATTTTTGTTGAAGATGTTGTATTCATGATATAATCCTGAAAAACAACCCAAAAAATAAATACAATTCACACGGAAGTTGCTAAATGCGTTGATAGTGGGCGGTGCATGGGTCCGCAATAATCCTCTGAAGAAGGAGTGGTAGTTTGAAGGAAAAGAAAAAAAAACACTAAAAAGAAGAAGACAGTCTTTTCAATCACAAATTCAGTCTATAGTTAGAGTCTGTGAGGCACTTATAGAGAACCGTTCTAGACCTTTTTGGGAATTGGCTAACCTTGAAGATGGGAAAAGACTTAAAATGTTTTGGTTTTAAAGGAGGCGAGACAGCAAAAATTTCGGGGGACAGTTCGGGGGACGAAATCGCGCCGCGCTTATGTAGATCATCGGTCGTCAGGCACCATCGCGCCCCCGTAGCTCAGCCGGTAGCGGCGCTGTACCCCTGAGCTGCCTGTCATGAGTTCAACCCCTCATGGGGGTTCTCTATGCAAAATATCAGGAAAACTTTTTTTTTTGGTGTCTGGCCTCCTTTAAATAAAGTTTGATATTTATAAAAAGTTTTAGATCAATTCATTTAATTTCTAATTATTTCTGTGAATATTTCAAGTTAACTGTTTTGTACGGAAAAATGGAACAATGTGAAGTAATTATTGCCGTAAAACCTGTAATAGAAGGGCTCTCTAAATTTTATTTTTGAGCCAATTTATCTTGGTTCCTATCAGAATATCAGAAATGTTTTGTCAGTTGACTCATTTTTGATATCTTGCATAGGAAATGAGATAATTGAGCTCAAACTTGACAATACGGCGACCCTTCTATTACAGGTTTTATACTGTATATCGAAATTGGGTTTTCAACTATAAGGATTTGGCTAAAACTCCTTCGAAACCCCCCAAAACCACATGACTTTTTTCACCTACGATTTCTGTGTATTTACAATGTTTGAGATGTGCGAATCGAATTATTTGAAGTTAGTTCGAATTGAATTGAAATCAAATAGTAAAGAGGGGAAACGAATCAAACACTACTTCTTTCGACAAAAGATGACAAGATTCTGTACAAGAGTTTTCAAAACTTTTGGACTCAAACTTATGTTGAAAATATTCACAAATGTAATAGAATAAAAAAATAAATTCGAGAAAATGTCCAATAACATAAACCACTTCATTATCCTCTCCTCTTCTTGGTCTTCCTTTCCGAGTAGATGAAATTGAAGAGAAGTAGGTTATCAGAGAGAAAAGAGGATACAGGTCGGTTGCTGCTATGGAGGCGCTCTCTCGCCGAAAACGAACAGTTCCTGCGCTACCGGTGAAAAGAGAAGAGTACGGGAAACAGAAAAGAAAAGAGAAATTAAAAAGAGAAGAGACAGAATGTTGAAGTATTAGAGAGAGTTTAGAGACAGGACAACCAGAGAAGAAACTGTACGATATGGACGCATGGAGACAAACACGCTCGTTTCTCTGTGGCTTCTTCTTCGCCTGGAATCTTTTACTTGACCGTGTTTGTTTTATAGGAACAGGAGAGGGGGAGAACGAAAAAAGCATAAAACAAGACCACTTAGTGTTATCCATAATATTTATGTCTTGTTATTATTGTTATGCTGGTATGCAAAAATCAGAGCTGTGGAAGAGAACATCTGTTGGCGGCGGTCACAGCCGAACTACCGTAGCTAGCAATTTTTTTCCGTTTTTCGGAAATTTATTCAATTCAGAAAAATGTTATTTTTCGACTTGTTGGATTTTTCAACACAAAAGTTGTCGAAAAGCAATAGTAATCGAGGAAAAAGTACAGAGAGTTTTAGGTTACCTTGGTTTTCGTTACGGGAACCGTTGGCCACGCCCACAAGCTTTCTTTTCCCCCAATTCCTTACTTTAAACCAAGCATGATAATGTTACGAGAATAAAATGAAACCGAGAGCTGGAAAGATATGGGAACCATGATGAACGTTTGAAACTGACACTCTAGGAATGGGAACTTTCAAAAGATTTTAAAATTGAGAAGATAAAACAAATCACAACATTATACAGGCAAATAATTTGAAGGAAAAAAACCTGAAAATTTTAGATTTTTCGCATTTATGGAATTTTTAACGCTAAATCACCTTGTCCTTGTACACCGTTGTACCTTTCGAATGATGTGCCTATTATATAATTACTGTAAACACTCCGATAGACAGCCACCCGATTTTGAGCCCATATATCTGGGCTGCTGTAAAAGATATCAAAATTGGGTCAACTGACAAAATGTTTTTAATTTATGATAAACATTTTGTCAGTTGACAAAAAATTGATATCTTTCACAGGAATTTAGATATTTCGGCTCAAAGTTAACTGATTGGATGGCATTCTATTTAAGTGATTACGGTATATCACTGGAGATCTCTGAAAATTCCATGTAAACTTCCAACATGTAATCAAATAACAACATCTGATCCTTTATCATCCATAATAATCTAATATTCGAACACCGCGGATCACAAGGACACTCATCTCGATATGCGGATCTTTCGGCGGACCCTATACTTACTTTCTTCTCATTTACTTTGTCTTCAGTTTGTATAATTAGACATTATACTTCATAGAATCAGAGTTTTCTTTTTTTGTTTCATTTAATATTTGACATCCATATTTGTCACTTTCAAAATTACCGTAAACACTCTAACAGAGTTCCATTCAAACCGTTTACTTTAAACCCATATATCTCATTTTCTGTAAAAGTTATTAAAAAATTGTCAACTGATAAATTATTCATCATAATATCACCTATAATTTATCAGTTAACCACTTTTTGATACCTAGGAATCAAGATAATTGGGCTCAAAGTCGACGGTTTCGGTGGGCTTCTCGTTTAGGAATCATGGTAGTACCGGTATGGGTCGTCGTGATTGACGACTCGTCAAAAAAAAAAGTTAAATTAGGGTCCATTGTGGATCTCGGTTCATTTGGAAAACTACAGTATCTCTTCCAGTTTCAGAATGGATCGTCTTCTTGCTCTTTATTCCCAACAGAACACGCATTCAACTCCTGCTGAAATGTGTCGAAACTATCTACTGGATCTTCTGAAAAGCGGAGAAGAAGGATCTATTCAATGGAGAAATCTTGACGCATTGGAGTTCGAAATTACGGACGAGATGGATTTGAAAAGGCGATTCTATGTTAGAACAGGAAAGGATTTCAGCCGTGTTTTGAATGAAGGAACTCGATTTTTCAGAAAGGTTAGTCTCTTTTTTTTTGCTTTTAAATAAGAGTAAATAATTTAGGTCCATGGCCTGGACAACGTTTATCGCTTCCATTTTGTCCCCAGACATCTTCGTCCTCTAATTCCTAACAAAAAATTTGCTCAACGTTTGATGTTCTCTACTGAAACTGCTGTTTGATGCTTTTCAATTTTTTATTAGAGAAAAAGATCTCATTAAATAAAACTGACAAAGAAACCGAAAAATTGTGTTCAAAATTGAAGATAAACGAGGGTTTGATAACAAGCATAAATTACTAAAACAGAGAATCCCAGCAAAGAAACAAATAGAATGCAATAAGAACATTTTTCCGTTGTTAGTTAAATCAGTTTTTAGCAGCTGCCTTTTTGGCGTCCACATCGATTGGAGCTGGCTTCACAAATGGAATGAAAGTGCGGTATTGCTCAGGCATCCATTGTTGAATAGCCTGAAAATTAAGTAATCCTCTAAATGATGATTTCTGAAACTTACAGTTGGAACGTTGATTCCCTCTTCTGTTTGATTGTTTTCAAGGATGGCGCAAATGACACGAGTAGTTGCACACATTGTGGCATTGAGCATATGCACAAATGGAACCTGATAAAACATTGTTTAGTCGTTATTTTTCACATTTTGACAATTTTACCTCTCCGTTCAACTTCTTGGTTTGTCCGTAACGGACCTTCAGTCTGCGAGATTGGTAGTCGAGGCAATTTGAGCAGGAGACGAGCTCGCGCATTGCTCCAGATCCTGGGAACCAAGCCTCGAGATCGAACTTCTTGGCAGCAGCGTTGTTAAGTTCTCCAGAAACAATGTTCACGACGTGGTATGGAATTTGAAGTTCTTGGTAATAGCTCTCTGCGTTTCCAATCATTTCATCAAACAAGGTCCAGGATTCGTTGTCATTTGGACTGCATAGAACAAATTGTTCAATCTTTTCGAACTGATGAACACGGAAGATACCACGAGTATCTCTTCCATGGCTTCCAACTTCTTGACGGAAACAAGTAGAGACTCCAGCGTATTTGATGGGGAGTTCGGTCTCCTTGATCCACTCGTTGCGGTGATATGCGGCAATTGGTTGTTCAGAAGTTGCAATCAAATATTTCTCATCGACTGTGGTATCTCCAGCAACCTCGGATCCTTTTGAACTAACTTTGTAGAGCTCGTCGTCGAATTGACTGAGCTGAGCAACCTCTTGCATTACTTCTTTGCGCATGAAGAATGGAGTGTAAAGTGGTGTGTATCCCTTGAGGTTCAACCGCTGGAGAGCGAGTTGAATTATAGCTTGCTCCAGGAATACCAATGGGCCCTTCAAGAAGTATCCGCGGCCTCCAGCAACAACGGTTCCTCGCTCACCGTCGAATCCATCCACCATCACCACCAAATCTACATGGGAATACTTCTTTCTTGTTGTCAAGTCTCCAAAAGTTCTTTCCACTTTGTTATTATCTTCCTTGTCTGAAACAACGACCGAATCATGGAGCAAGTTTCCGATTTGAATGAGCTTCTCATGACGAGCAGTTTCATGAGCAACCGCTGCAGCTGCGGTTTCTACAGACTTTTCGTCTACAAGAAGACGCAACTTTTTCAGCTGAACAACGGTGAGCGTGGAGAGTTCGTCAAGCTTCAACTCGGCAAGACGAGCGACAATGTCCTCAGCGACGGAATCATCATTTCCTTGAGGCTCTTTCTTCTGAAAATTGATTTCATTGAAAAATAGTCGAAAACAATTTCAGGTAACTGGGCTATTCTGATTGTGGGTGAACAGTTATTATTTTGGATTAGAATGTAAATTTTAAATGAATTGCTTGCCTTCATTTTCTCTCCGATTGCTTTTGAAATGGCATTTTTTTGACGATTAAGCCGGTCAGCTAGGAATTTCTCTTTTCTCCATTTCTCATCCCACTCGATGACTTGATCCACCAAAGTAACATCCTTGTAACGATCACGTTGAGATTTCCGGATTACATCCGGGTTTCCTCCTACAAAATTCGAGAATAAGTCGAACCTCGTTCAAAATTGACACCTACCCCTCTCCACGCGGAACAGGTCAATGTCAAGAACCATTTTGGAAGTTCCGGAAAATGTGAATTACCCTGAAGTAAGAAAAGTGTTGTTTTGAAACTTTTCAACAAGAAAGGTCTTCAAAATTTTCATAAGAAAAAAAGTCGGAAATGTGGGAGAGATTTGGTAAAATTTCGCAAGATTTATTTTGAGGCCTAGAAATTTAGAAATTTACGCACTGGCCGCAGTTGTCCGTACGTTGTAATGCCGGCTGTGTGAAATCAGCTACGGTGAAGCATTTCATTATACGCGCATTAAACATCAGATAAATAAATACATTTATTTAGTTATCGGGTCCAAAAAGTTTTTTTTTTCAATAAAACATAGGTAAGAACTTTGAAGAGTCAAATATTTCTACTGGAACGCTCAAATTTTCATCGAATACAGGCTATCATAATTAGTGAACAAGTAATTGCGTCATATTACAGAGCTCCAGATGAGCGCAAACACGACTCATGCACCCATCGGCTTCAAAAAACGGACAGATGCGGAAAAATTTGCAATAGATTTACTAATTGGTGGAGTTTCTGCCTCCGTCTCGAAAACTGCGGTTGCTCCAATCGAACGTGTCAAAATCTTGCTTCAGGTATTCAAATAATTTGTTCGTGATCAAAAAAAGCTGTAACTATGACTTCAGGTTCAATATTCTCATAAAGATATTCCTCCCGATAAAAGGTTCAACGGTATCATTGATGCATTTATCAGAGTCCCAAGAGAGCAAGGATTTTCTTCGTTCTGGCGAGGAAACCTTACGAATGTGATTCGCTATTTTCCAACCCAAGCATTCAATTTCGCCTTCAACGATTTGTACAAATCGATCTTACTAAAAAATATCAAGCGGGAAAATGTAAGATTTTTTAAAAAATTTAACATTGAAAATATGGATTTGTTTTCAGAATGTTCTATCCTACAGTATCCGAACGCTCGTTTCTGGAGGACTTGCTGGTTGCTCATCTCTTTGCATTGTTTATCCATTGGATTTTATCAGAACACGTCTATCTGCCGATATCAATCACCACACCAATAGAGAATATAAGGGTCTGGTGGATTGCACCCTGAAAACCGTTCGAAACGAAGGTGTCGGTGCTCTCTACAGAGGATTTGCAATTTCTCTTCAGGTAGCTTCTTCTACGATTGTCCGAAACCTCACAATATTTTTCAGACGTATTTCATTTATCGATCAGTTTATTTTGGTTTGTATGATGCAGTTAGAAACACCATAAATACTGACAAGAAGAAGCTACCATTTTACGCTTCCTTCGCTATTGCTCAGGTAAAATAATTAAACTCAATCTTGGTATTATTCTTGTCAGAGAAAAAAAGGCTGAGGCGAAGTGTATGCGAAGTTTGTAAACAAATATCTGAAAGCGTAAACAAAAAAAACGTAAACAACACAGTTGAAACGAGTGCGACAGTAACCCGGCGGGAAAATATTAAATTTACTCATTTTTTAGCTTTTCGCATATTTTGCAGCAAATTTCGTCGAATATATTTTAAAATACCGCAAAAAACAATGAAAAACAAACCATGTTCGACGAAATTTGCTGCAAAATATGGGAAAAACTAAAAAATAGGTAAATTTAACATTTTCCCGCCGGGTTACTGTCGCACTCGTTTCAACTGTGTTTGTTTACGCTTTCAGATATTTGTTTACAAACATCGCATACACTTCGACTCAACCTTTTTTTTCTCTGACAAGGATAATAATTACAAAAATTCCATATTACAGGGTGTAACTGTTCTCTCCTCATATTTGACTTATCCATGGGATACTGTACGGCGCCGAATGATGGTCAAAGGACAGCTGAGCACATCAAAAGCGTTTGCAGCGGCAAGGAAAATTGTACACGAGGAAGGATTCCGAGGATTATACAAAGGAGCTTTAGCCAACATTTTTAGGTAAGGAATGTTCTTAAATAATAAAAAAACATGAGGTTTTGTTCAGAAGCGCTGGTGGTGCACTTGTCATGGCTCTCTATGAAGAAATTCACAAGCATATGTAGCAATTTTTATTAATTTTTGACAATTTATAACCGCATTTCTCTCATGTAGATTCTCAGCTAGCGATTGAAATCCTTGTTTCATTTTTTACGATTATTAGGAACAATTTAGACTTTTTTCTTGTTATTAACCGGTTGCCATCTGCCCAGCAGGTCTTTTTTTACTTTTCTTTTCAATTCAGCTATCAATAAAGCCTTTCTGCAACAGTAGTGTGACGTGGCACATCAGACACTTGTCGCATGCATGCACTATTCGACTCGTTTCATCGATTTTCGATATTTTTCTCACCCATCAAACTCTATAATAAAAAAGAAAGCAACAGAAAAAATTGTTAAGGATAAAAACATTGAAAACAGTATGGTGATAGTATGGTAAGCTCTCTTTAGCAGGTTTCGGTCTTTTAATGCGAAAAAATTTCAGTTATTAACGAAAAATGCGCTGATATTCGTTGCTCTGTTCGTCAATTCGTTCTCTCGGAAATCAACTGATAACATTTTTTTGCTCACTGATGAGGAGATTCGGTATTCATCGATCTCAAAAGTGAGTGAAATTTGATTTTAAAATTCCTTTTCAAATATGTTTGAATACAGGAGGATATTGAATATGGTCGATCGAAAACGCGGGAAATGTTTGAATTCGGATGGAGAAATTACATGGAATTCGCATTTCCAGCTGATGAACTAGATCCGATTCATTGTCGTGGGCGTGGGCATGATCATGATAATCCGTAAGCATGATTTAATATATTGAAAGAGCTCGAGTTTTCAGAGACAACATCAACATAAACGATGTACTGGGGGATTATTCATTGGGACTAATTGATACTCTCGACTCGCTTGTTGTCTTTGGTGAGTTTGATATTCGTATAAAAAATGGAAGTTGTGGAAGAGAAACGCCGGTGGCCGTGACCAAAGATTCCACAGCGATGACTACAGTAACCTAATGATATTCTTATTTTCTCGTTTTTTACGGATTTTTTCCTAAATCAGTCGAAAAATGAACATTTTCAACAGAAAAAAACTTACTGAAAACGGACAAAAACCCAGAAAATATCAATATTTTTAGGTTATTGTAGTTTCCTTTTGTTTCTCTTCCACAGCTCCGATTTTTGATACAAGCATAAAATATCCATACATTTTAAAAAAATTATTTAAGGAGACGCCGATGAGTTCAAACGAGCTGTGAATTTGGTAGTCAAAACTGTTTCGTTTGAAAAGAACACCACGATCCAAGTCTTTGAATCCACTATCCGAGTTATGGGCGGTCTTCTAGCTGCTCACATGATTGCTGTAGATAAAACAAATCGTTTTGGACCATTTTACATGTCGGAGTATGGAGGAGAACTTCTGACACTTGCCCATGATCTTGCTGGCCGCTTACTTCCTGCATTTGAAGGAACTGCTACTGGGATTCCCTTCACAAGAGTCAACCTTCAAAAGGGAGTACTTCCAGGAACCACCAATTTCACATGTACATCTGGAGCTGGATCCTTGTTGCTAGAATTTGGTAGTTTACATTTAATACCGAGACTTTCAAAACAGACAGTTTTCAGGTGTCCTCTCGAAGCTACTCGGAGACGATTCGTATGAAAAATTAGCACGACGGGTCAACGAGAAGCTTTGGACTCTGAGGAATCAGGCAACTGGGTTACACGGAAACTTGATCGATATCCAAACAGGAGAATGGGTTGGGCATCTTGCTGGTCTTGGGGCTGGAATAGACTCATTTTATGAGTATATGCTGAAGTCATACATTCTATTTGGCAATGAAAGAGACCTCGATATGTACAACGAATCATTCCAGCAAATTGTGACCTATATGAGACGTGGTAGAAATGTTTGTGCTGATACGAACGGAGATTCTCCAATATATGTGAATGTGGATGCAAGAGATGGAAGCACATCGAACACGTGGATTGATTCATTGCAGGTACGTTCCGGCTACAAAAGTCACTCAGAGAAAGGTTTTTTCAGGCAAGCTTCGCAGGGGTCCTCGTGCTTGCTGGGCAAGTAGATGAAGCCGTTTGTCACCACGCTCTTTACTACGCAATTTGGAAAAAGTACGGTGTTCTCCCTGAACGATTCAATTGGCAACTTCAAGCTCCTGACGTTTCTTTTTATCCTCTACGGCCAGAATTCATTGAATCGACATATCTACTGTACACAGCTACCAAAAATCCTTTCTATCAGCATGTTGGTCTCGAAATTCTTGAATCATTGGAAACGATTACACGAGTCAAATGTGGGTTTGCTACTGTACACGATGTGGCGGATAGAAGTCTTGAAGACCGAATGGAATCTTTCTTCTTATCGGAAACATTGAAATATCTCTACTTGCTATTCGATGATAACCATCCGATTAACAAAAAAGAACAAGAAAGAGTTTTATTTTCTACAGAGGTAGGATTCAAGAGTCCAATGCTGATTATTGAAAATATTGAATCTTTTCAGGGGCATTTGCTCCCAATTTCCTCATTATTCAATTCGCCATCTAGTCCGCCTTCTATTCTCGATCCTCCACTTTCTACATTGCCACGTGGGAACGCCTCTTCCTGTGAAACTGGCTACGAGTTTTCCGCAGGAATCCCTCCGCTTCGCCATCCTCAAATGAAACAGCTATTCGAAGTAGTTGGAGTAAATTCAAATCTTCACAATTGGGTATAACAAAACCTCTTCATGCTTTCATATCTGACAATTGGGTGCCTTAATTTTCAAATATCGTGTTTTGCTGTGATAGCTGTGATAATATCGAACTGTGATAGCTGTTTTTTAAGCCGGTAAATAAAATAAAGTAAATTATATGTTTTATGTTTCATGATGCTCTACTTCCAACACTGAATTCCATCAATAAAACGGTTTCAATAAAAATGAGAAAATGAAACCTCAACCCCCATACAGTATTTCAAGTTTTCGATAAATTGTCGTAGTTGTTTTTTAAACTGAATCACCTGTGTTGATTTCTGCGGACTTAAACAAAAATCAATCGGAGGCCGAATAACAATGACGCAGTTTTGTAAAACTATCAAAACGACGATACTCTTCTCCAAACCGAGATACGCAGACAAAATGATAAGAGAAGAGAATGCTCGGTGAGCAAAACATGTCCGAGCGATTCGCAATTCAAGATTCTCCTCCCCAGAAGTGTTCTTTGATTGATCTTTCAGTGATGATCGCTGTTTGATGGGCCTCGTGTTGATTGCCAAACGAAACAAGCCGTTGATCGCGATGATGTCTGCGATACTCTTCACTGCCGCTCTGTATTTTGCCACGAGGTATGTTTTATCTATTCTATTCATGGTATTCATATGCAGAGTATCTTTGTTCAGCTATTTATTCAGATCCAGATTGCCTTGATTTGGTTTTCTGGTTTTCTACCTCTACCGTATTCAAACTTAGCTCGTACGCATTTTCATGTAGTTTCTGACGTGTAGTGTGTAAACACCAGTGGATTTGCTTTCTCGCGAAATTAGTTCTTCACCAACACAGTTTTTTGTTCAATTTTCATTTCTTTTTCGTTCTTTTCACATCTGTAAATGTAATTTTTTGTAGAAAATAAGAATAGTGACATTCTTAGTGAATCATTGATGTCTTGAAGAGCTTTCTTCTATCATAGCTACCATATCAGAAAAAAGTTGTCGTTCCTAAAACTGTAAATTACTCCTCATATAGAATTCCTTCGAAAACGGAGATTTGCTTGAAAATACTCTTTATGATTGCTTTTTTCGACAAATGCCCAACTCTATTTGAAGACCTTCAATACTAAGCTTATATCCGCGAATTCACATCTCGTGGTTTCCGAATAGTATGTAAGATTATCACTATCAAATGATAGTAATTCGTTTCGTGCCAATTTGAAATGTTCAAAAGCTTTATAACCGATCGAGACAATTCCATAATTTCAAGGTGAGAGCTAATATTTTCGAATACCCCTGCTCCCTTCATATGAAACGAAAAAAGAAAGCACTAAATTAATTTGTTAATCTTTTTATCCTTTGTTTCAATTTTAGTCTAATCCTCTTCTCGTGACGACATACATAAATCCACACACTATCACCAACTGCATGAAAATGTGCATGCGCAACAGCGTCTCTCGTGCCTTCTCATATATCTCACAAATGTCTGTAGTTGTCATCATCTCTTCCTAGATGATACTGGGCGGTCGAAGTGTCTCTGTGTCCAAGGGGTTTCTGTTATCCTCAACTCGTTTCCTTATGGGCTGTGCAGCAAGTCAGGAGAATGCCATCGCCACCGTTTCCTCGTCTTCCAACACCACTACAACCTCTATCACAGCAAACTCACAAAAATGGGCGACACCCCGAGCAATTCAAGCCTCTCATCCGATCAATAGTAACTTAACACAGGCAAGATATGATCGTTGTGTAGTTTCAGTCTTTATTTTGTTATGTGTAGGTAGCAGCAATACACACCTCTTCAATGGATTCTGGCAGTGAAACGGTGCAATTTTCGTCGCCTCGCGGTAGCTTGACAACTGCTTTCTCTTCCTCGTCTTCTGGAGCGCAACGAAAAATGTCGGCAAACTCGGAGAGGAGTTTACACACCAGGTTGCGTGATGATGTTGTGGCCCTCTTGTTTTTCTTACTTTGGGAGATATATTCAGATAATCCTACTTGATATCGTCACAGCGAGAAGACTAAAAAGTGTTATTTGAGACACTGAGAACAAATAGGTTTACACCGTTCTTTTGGGGTCGACTTTTTTAACCTAGAGGTTTTCAATGGCCAACTCCATAGCAGTATTTAAACAAATACGAAGTGTAGGCGTACTGAACTTTGCACATTCCGCGAATTTCCCTTTTTTGACAAACGGGCGGTGTCAGCTGATAAGGTGCACATAGACACGAAATAAGAAAAATTATGGGGAAAGGTTGCCTATACTTATGCAACAACCCACTCTTTCTACGAATTTCACATGTTGTTTTTTGATGTTATAAAAGTGGTTATTTAAAGCAAGATTTACTTTTCTAGGCATTGCGGACCTCAGGGCTGTCAATGGCCGGTCGCGTTGATAAACTTTTTTAATACGGCCCCGGCCCCGTGGCCTCGGCCGGCCGTCGTTCAAAAAAATTAAGACGCAACTATGGGTTTTCAACAAAAACATTAACTTTTTTCTGATTTTGAGCAGATTTTTTTGACAAGTAAAATTCGAAATTTACAAATTATGACTTCTATTCAATTGTCTCTCTAGTGTTCCCTTGAGTCACAAAAATAATTATTTTTCATGTTAGTTACTCCCATTTGAAAAATAATTATTTTTTAACCGATTTTCCATGTTCTGGTGAGCATTTTCATTTCGTATGAAGTTTCCCTCGGCCCCGCACGGCCGGCCGGCCGAGGCCGGTTTTTCGGCCGCGTTGTCGCTTTCAAAAATAAAAGCCGCGGCCTTCCGGCCCCTCGGCTTTTGGGCCGCAGCCTCGGCCGGCCGTTATTATCGACAGCCCTGGCTGACCTAACACCGTGAACCTATAAGTTCTTCTGCTTCCGAACGTGTCAAACGTATTTTTAGACAACAAAAAGTTTTCATGTTGTATCCACGTTCAGGTCATAATACAAAATTTTAGGAGTTGAATGAAAATTAGCTTAAATACAATTTTGCGAGAAAATGTTTTCTTGGCTTTTCTGTGGACGTTGTTTTCGTAATCCTAACAAGTTCGTTTCCTTTTTAATTAGGTTCATTGTGCTCCCATCCCTGATCGTGTCTAATTATTTATATACAACACTATATATTTTCCTTATCAAAAGTCAATTTGAGTCGTTTCTCTTTCAGGCCCTTGGCGGATACTGCTGTCATCCATAAGACTCAATCATCCAAAATGAGCACTGGAGCCGGAGATTCCCCAGTCTATCAAGCCGTTGAGCGTGGATCTTTGTACAGCTTGGATTATAGAGTATTCATTAGTAAGCCAGATCAGTTCCTCAATTCAACTTCCCTTTTCAATTTTCAGAGGGACCTCAAGGAATCGTTTCTCCATGGCACGACATTCCATTGTTCGCTGACAAAGAAAAGTCAGTCTACAACATGATTGTTGAAATTCCTCGCTGGACTAATGCCAAAATGGAAATGGCCACCAAAGAACCATTCTCACCAATCAAACAAGACGAGAAGAAAGGAGTTGCCCGTTTCGTTCACAACATTTTCCCACACAAGGGATACATCTGGAACTACGGAGCTCTCCCACAAACCTGGGAAGATCCAAACCACGTTGTTCCAGACACCGGAGCTAAGGGAGATAATGATCCAATTGATGTTATTGAGATTGGATCAAAGGTCGCCGGGCGTGGAGCTGTTCTCCAAGTGAAAGTCCTCGGAACATTGGCACTGATTGATGAGGGAGAGACTGATTGGAAGTTGGTTGCTATCGATGTCAACGACGAGAACGCTGACAAGTTGAATGATATCAACGACGTCGAAAAAATCTACCCTGGACTTTTGGCGGTATTGAAATTTTTCTCATTGGATCTGAGTGTATATTTCGTTTTCAGGCCTCCGTTGAATGGTTCAGAAACTACAAAATTCCAGCCGGAAAGCCAGCTAACGAATTCGCTTTCAATGGAGAATTCAAAAATCGCGAGTACGCAGAGAAAGTTATCGCCGAAACTAACGAGTTCTGGAAGGCTCTGATGAAGGAAGCCTCTCCAGCTCTTAACACGTAAGGATACTGACGAGTGACAGTTGTTATAATAGCGAATTTCCAGCGTTTCTCGTGTTCCTGAAGCTGTTCATCAAGCAACAGATGACTCCGCCGCGGCCGCCATCGCAGCAACTCCTGAGCATGGACCGTCCGTTGCTCTTCCAGGAGACGTCGACAAGTGGCATTTCGTTCAGGGATGACTAGCACGCGTCGATGGCCGTCCGGCTTCGGCAAAACTTTAAATTTATTGCACTTTCGTAATTAACTATGGCAACTAAATTCTTTTTTATGTTTCTCCTCAGAATATATTTTTCATTCCATCGTTCGTAATTTTTACTTCAATAAGACACTTTTCAATAATTTCAGGATATAATCTCTTCGGTGTTAAGCCCAAATCAGCCAATACCTTATTCTCCGCGCTTATGTTTCTCACTAGAAAAGGAGGTTTTTAAAAAGGTTTTTTAAACTGGCGCCTGAAGATCTGCGTGTCGTTATAAATCTTTATAGCCGGTTGCGATTTTGTCAAAAATTTTGTACAATTCTCGAGTTGCTACTCTGATTCAAGGAAAAAACGGGCGAAGTCTGAGTTTCCAGCTGCGCACGATTTTGCCGCACAGTTTTCTTTTAAAGTTTGCCATGAAAAAAACTGTGCGGCAAAACCGCGCGCAGCTTGCATATTATGCTTGTCTGAGAAAAAAAAGGTTAGAGAGTATTTTTTGCAGTCTGAATACGGTAGCTGTATCGAAGCGGAGAGCCTAAATATCACACAAACGGTGGAGACGCAGACACTTTTTCTCTGTGTCTCAACTTTTTTTCTCAGACAAGCATAATATTAGGCTCCGCTCAATTTCTTTTCGTAGGAAATGAGTTCCTGGGAATTTGAAGAAACTCGTTAAAATCAGTTGCTGAGGAACTGCTGCCCGTTTTACAACATTCGTGGCGAGACCATAATTCTACCGTAATCTTCTGTTTCTCATTACACATATGTCCCTTTGAAAAATCATACTGTAGAAAATTTGTTTTTCAACAGAAAAACATAATATTGTTTTCCTTTTATGTTCTATACAGTCTCAGATACAGGTTTGCATACTTCTTGGGTGGTTTAAGTATATGTAGAATTTGTTCTGCACATGTATTGATTTTCAAAGCAGTAAAAATGTTTTCTTCTCGTTTTTTTTATAACAAAAGAGCTTCCGGTTTTTCCTGTGTGGATAGACTTGTTAATCTAACTCATGAACCGCAGTTGATCTATGCAAGAGCGCTCTGACGAACTGGTATTTTTTTAGGGTCCTCGGCGCGATTTTTCTTTTTCGTTCGTTTTCGTTTGCCACCTTTGAGTTTGTCTGATCATTCACTCACTTTGAGAGAAAAAATATCTTTTGAATTCTGTTAATTTACCTTGATTATCTCATCCGTTTCAAAACTCTATAAAATCGTACAATTTCGGCCAGTTTCGTTTTGTTTCGTAACCGCAGTTTTCCAGAATCATTGTCTATCGATTTTCATATTACTTGTAAGCACCCTTCTTACTCAAATGTAAGAATGTTCAGCTCTAGAATAGGACCATCAACTAGTTTAGTTTTTTACTTCTGGGTTTATGATTTCTCGAACTTTTCATTCAAATCTTTCTTTCGGACATCTCCAATTTAGACTATTTTCAGTGATTCGAATCTTGCTGCATTAATGACTACTATCCTTGAGCAACCGTCCCCCAACAGTGCCTCTACGAAGGCTTCAATTAGCAAGCAGCGTCAAGGAGATAATGATTATCCTCCAGCGAAGAGATCCAAGGGAGGGGAAGAGGACGAGACTGTGAAAAACGGAAACGGACAGTCCGTTGATTCCTCTAAGCAACAAACGCTGTCTGGACACGATGTAAGTGGAGCTCATTTGTAGTTGAAAAATAGACGGATTCGTTCTTTTTTTTGAATTTGGATTGATGCGAATATAACTACAAAAATTTTTATTAGGGTGTTATCAGTTTTTTATTAGTGAATGTTATGAGTATTCAAAGGTGGGCCCATGACAATATAACTTTCTCGAAGTTTCGATCGTATAAGACCAACGAGAATTTTAACTTATGAGAGGTCATGCTGTTTTAGAACATTTTGTTGTAGCCAGAATGATAACACAAAAGTTTTTCATCTAGAGGATGACTCTCATTAGAAAAACTTCGGTATTTCTCCCTTGCTTTCTATTTTTGATCTCCATCCACCCAGAAAATTAGGGGAGATGTTGCTGTGGCAACGGGGCAATAGCAGATATGCTGCTTCATTCCTAACGGGGGAATAATACTAGTAGATGTGATTCTGAAAACTGATATGAAAACAACTGCTTTTTGAAATCATCAGCGCATTTTGTTTATTGGAATTTGTTTCTTCGCAATGTATACGGCTTATTTGAGGCAATTCTATCCAGATCGGCGCAAGCTAAGAAAGGTGGGTTTCAAGTAGGCATATTGGGCAAATTTTTCTGTACAGTCATGGATTCTCATTGATCATCAATTAAACTTCCGTGATTTGGATAGGTTTTTTGAGCAATTGTTTTCTTCTCAATTTCTCTGTATTTGTGAGTTTGTGTGTTTGTCAATTCTTGGTTTTCTCTTCCACTCTATGTCTCTCATAGTCATCATTTTTCGTTCGTCCTACTCATACTTGATTTTTTTTTTAAAAATTGGAATATCGAATATATTCAATCAATAGCTCTTCTGGGAATGTGGGTACTTTGTATTTCTTCCCTGTTAGGTGAGGGTTTGTATTAGAACACCAATGGGCGGTTCAACTGTCCAGCTGGCCGTCGTCTGCGTCTCTCACACTTTTCATTCCTGCGCTTCCTTTTCATTTCGCAACGATGTCTCTTCGTGCTGTAGGTCTTATTTCTCACACTTCTTTTCGCGTACTTTCCTTTCGATTCCTGAGTAATACGGAATAGTTTTGACATATTTTGTAATCCTTCCATTTCGCTCAATCCACGTTCTCATAGGATATGTACCATCCAGGATGGTGTCATGATAACATAGTTTGCTACGTGTATGTCTAACTGTAATTATTTACAGCAATCCGGAAAAGTCACTGTTAAATCTACCGATAACGGAGGCCAAGACGAGAAGATGGATACCAGCAATAATGCAGGCGGAAATGGGGGCAACGCAGATGAACTTCTTGACAAAAACCTCTATTCTCGCCAAATGTGAGTTTTTGAAAGCATTAGAATTCTTTTATGAGGTTCTTTCAGCTACACCTTGGGAGAATCTGCAATGGTCAATCTCCGAACAGCCTCAGTGTTGATCTCGGGTCTTGGATCTGTCGGAGTGGAGATTGCCAAGAATCTCGTTCTCGGTGGAGTTAGACACGTTACTATCCACGATACCAAGCTTGCAAAATGGACTGATCTTTCGGCACAGTATTATCTCCGAGAAGCTGATGTCGGACACAATCGAGCAACTGCTTGCTACGAACGACTTGCTGAGCTTAATGATAGTGTCAACGTTGAAGTATCCACCGCCGATCTCACCGAAGACTTTGTGAAAAATTTTGATGTAAGACTTTTTTATTGATTTGTGTGATTCAATTTTCTGTTTTCAGCTCGTTGTGCTTACGGACGCTACGCGCACTCAACAGCTTCAAGTATCTAGTTGGACCCGATCTCATAACCGCAGAATTCTCATTGCTGATGCTCGTGGTGTTTTCTCCTACATTTTCAACGATTTTGGAGATAACTTCCGAATTGATGATACAACTGGAGAACAAGTTCGCGAGTTCTTTATTGAGCACATTGATCGAACAACGGGTGAAGTTACCACACTGGAAAACTTGTTCCACGGGTTGGAAGACGGAGATCATGTTACTTTCTCCGAAGTGAAAGGTCTCGACGGAATCAATGGATGTGAACCAATCAAAATCACAGTCAAAAATGCTTCAAAATTCAATATCGGAGAGTTCGCTGCTTCTTTCCCCGATTACATTGAAGGGGGAAGATGCCGTCAAGTGAAAGTTCCGATTTCTGTAACGCATACTCCATTCAAGAAATCTTTGGAAGAACCGGAATTCGGAATATGGGATTATGCTAAGTTCGAATATCCAGCACATCTTCATGCTCTCTGGACTGCTCTCTACGCATTCGAGGAAAAGAATGGCCGGTCTCCAGCTCCTCGTTCGACGGAAGATGTTGCATTGTTGAAGTCGTTCATCCCAGCCGGAACTGAAGAAATTCCAGAGAAATTGATCGAGCTGTTCTCCTATTCTGCTGCTGGAAATCTCGTCACCGTTTCTTCTGTTGTTGGAGGAATAGCCGCACAAGAAGCAATGAAGGGAGTCACTCACCACATGACTCCTCTAAAGCAATGGCTGCACTTGGATCATGTCGAAGCTCTGCCAGGAGATTGGACTTCCTTCGACAACACAAAGCTGTCGGAGACTGACTGTCAACCACGGCAGTCACGTTACGATGGTCAAGCTGCAGTTTTCGGTTGGCCTTATCAAGAGTGCCTCTTCCATCAAAGATGGTTTGTCGTTGGAGCAGGAGCTATTGGATGCGAGTTGCTGAAGAACTTGGCAATGATGGGAGTTGCTTGTGGAGAAGGCGGTCTCATAAAAATCACGGATATGGATCAAATTGAGATCTCCAATCTCAACAGACAGTTCCTTTTCAGACGCAAAGATGTTGGGGTTAGTTTTTGATATCTGTTTGCTTGGAATAACTCAAATATTTTTTTCAGGGCAAAAAATCTGAATGCGCCGCTCGTGCTGTCACTTCATTCAACTCCGATGTTCGCATTGAGGCCCTTGCTGAACGTGTGGGCGTCGACACTGAACACATTTTCAACGATGACTTCTTTGGAGAGTTGAACGGAGTTGCTAATGCCCTCGATAATGTCGATGCTAGAAGATACATGGACCGTCGTTGCGTGTACTATCGTCTTCCACTCCTCGAGTCGGGAACTATGGGTACTAAAGGAAACACTCAAGTCGTTTATCCTTACCTTACCGAGTCATACTCCTCTTCAAGTGATCCACCAGAGAAGGAGATTCCAGTCTGCACGCTGAAGAACTTCCCCAACGAAATTCAACACACCATTCAATGGGCCCGTGAACAATTCGAAACTTTCTTCGCCCAACCAGGAGAAATGGCTAACAAGTTCCTGTCGGATGAGAGAGCTTTCAATGATCACATCAACAAGCTTATCTCTGGGCAACAGATTGATATTCTTCAGAAAGTGAAAGACGCTCTTATCGATGGACGCCCAAGTTCTGCCGAAGAATGCATTCATTGGGCTCGTAATCAGTTCCAGGAGCTGTATCACAACGCAATCGCTCAAATGCTTCACTCGTTCCCACCAGATCAACTTACTGATTCTGGAGCCAAGTTCTGGTCAGGAGCCAAACGTTGCCCACATGTTTTGAACTTCGATCCATCGAAGGAAGAACATTTCAACTTTGTTTACGCAGCTTCTATTCTCAGAGCGGAAATGTATGGTGTTAAGCCAATTCTTGATCGTGAAGAAGTCATTCGCATTGCATTGTCCATCAACCCTGAACCATTTGAACCTCGTTCGGGTGTCAAGATTGCTGTAACTGATGCTGAGGCTAAGGAACAGAACGAGAGAGGAGGCTCTTCCGGACTTGGACTTGATGATGATACGGCCATCGAATCATTGAAGTTGAAACTTGCCACTTTGAACGTGCAAGCCACCAACAAGTTGAATTGTCTCGATTTCGAGAAGGATGACGATTCCAATCATCATATGGAATTCATTACTGCTGCATCCAATCTTCGTGCCGAAAATTATGACATCTTGCCAGCCGATCGCATGAAAACCAAGCAGATTGCTGGAAAAATCATCCCAGCCATCGCAACAACTACTGCCGCAGTTGCTGGTCTCGTTTGTGTCGAACTTTATAAGGTAGGCATTTCTTTCTTCATTGACTTCATATTTTCACGATATATTTTCAGGTCGTTGACGCTAACGGAGTTCCAAAAACCCCAGTCGAGCGCTTCAAGAACACTTTCCTCAATCTGTCGATGCCATTCTTCTCTTCCGCAGAGCCAATTCTCGCTCCGAAGAAGAAGTACGTGGACAAAGAATTTACTCTGTGGGATAGAATCGACATTCAAGGACCGCTCACTTTGAAGGAATTCATTGACGAAGTTCAAAAACAGACTGGAGGCTGTGAGATGTCGATGTTGTCCGCTGGACAGTGCCTTCTTTTCTCGTTCTTTATGAATGGCGCTAAGAAAGAAGAGAGACTCAAGACTGAGTCAGTTTTCCTTTCCATAGTGTTGACTTTTATTGTCTTTTTTTCAGAGTGAAAGCTGTCTACGAAGAATTGCTCAAGAAAAAACTTCACGAGTCGGTTCGCGCAATTGTTCTGGAGCCAATGATGACTGACCCCAATGATGAAGACGTCGAAGTTCCGTATATCCGTTATGCTTTCTAAATTGCATTCAACAAGATGTTTATATGTTTCTCTCTCTCTCGCACCCCCATCTCCCTCCCCCATCCTGTAAAAGTTTTATTTATTTTTTATCACTTCTGATTTCCGTTCATTCGTAAACGGAAATCGTATTTATTTATGGTTTTAATTTGCACTGTGGGGGTTTCTGATAGATTCCCACACACACAATGTCCCCGTACCTCATCATCTCTTTCCACTTGATCCGTTTGAAAAAATACCACTTTTTTGATTAACTAAATGAAATCACTTTTATTAAGCCAATTAATGATATTTAAGTTTACAACCGGTTTTTGAGAGGGGGAATTTTTTCAAATTGCACAACAGAAATTGAGAAGGAAAAGTGAGCAGAGATAGGCGCATCTGCAATTATGGCATTGTGAGAATAAAATTAATTAACAAAAAAGCAATAATTTAACAAATGGTCTGATCACTTGTGTCAGTAAAAACGATTTTCGAAACTTCAAGAGATCCTGATTTTCCAGTTTCAGAGAGCCGCGAAATTATGTAAACCTGAAAGAAAATGAATGTCAAATTTTTTTTTCAATTTCAAATACCTTTGTATCGCTGGCCAGAAGCTCAATGTAATCGTTTCCTTCTCGTCCTTCTACCTTGAAACAGCTTTCCAATTCTTTCGTTCCACTGTCATTGCAAATGAACAAATTGGCGTCTCCCTTGAATAACAAAACAGAAGAAATATAAAACAATAATTTCAAGAATTACCTGTAGTCTATAATCGAAATGAAGGCGTGCTACGGTATTCAGACGGAATTGTGGCGACTCCAGAATGAAAACTCGTTTTGATCGAGTCAAGAATGCATTCAATTTTCTATTGGCTACCTGAAAGTTGAGAAATTCGTTTTTCAAAAATGGAAATTTTTAAAAAATTGACATACTCCGTGCATAGCAGAATTAGAAACTTGTGAACTTTCATAGAGGCAAGCATGTCCCAGATGGAAATCACATGACAGTAGTCTACAAACGTTCGGGTCTGGAATATCAGCAGTCGGTCGGAAAGTTTTCGATGAGAATTGCTTGGCAGCGGTTGGTGGACAGATTTGACCAGTCACAATGATATCATCAATCAGAACCATTCCTTGATCTTCTGCTTCTGCCGAGAATGCAACTCGGAATGGACGACGGATGCGTGGAAGATCTACAACCACATCGCCACTGCTGGCATCTTGGCAATCGAGAAGTGATGGGGAGGATTCTTCGACAAGGCAAACCTGAAAGAGTTCGGGATTTTGGATAGTTTTCCACAATCATCTACAGGAACTAAATACCTTAATTTTAGCAGTTCCAGTAGTCCACAATTTGAATTGAACGTGCACATTATCAAGTGCACATCTGACGACTTCTGACAGAAGAACTGCGCTTCCTCCAGTTTCGAATTTTGCTAATCCGAATTCTCCTTCTGGAATCTCAGAAATTCCAGTCAATGAATACAACTTCTCATCGTTCAATGGCCCATGTCCAACTGTCCATGTGTTTGATGCAATATCAGATGAGTCCTCGTCCTGATTCAACATTCCCCAAAGGCATGCAGATGCTCTCTTTGAGAAATCACAAGATAGATCTTGAGCTGTATGCACATTTCGGCTCAGAAGAAGAGAAAGCATTGGAGTAGAAACGAAAGAATCTCCGATGTCGAATACAGACAGTGCGTCAGTGCAAAGTGTTGCTCTATAGGAGATGTCATCAACAATCACCATGTTATCAAAATCAGAATTCAAAGAAGAAACTCTAATGATGATCTGAAAAATTAATATAATAAACTACCGTACTTCCTCTAATAGAAGCCTACTTAAACCATCAACTTTAAGCTCAATTATCTCGATTCCTGTGAAGATATCGAAATTTGTCTACTGATAAATTGTTTAACAAGATATGGACAATATTCTGTCAGTTGACAAACTTTCGATATTTTTTACAGAAATCGAGATAAATGAGCTCAAATTTGACGGTGGGCTTCTAAAATTCCTTCTCACCATGAAATTTTTAGTTGCTTTTCTGAATGTCAATTTAACATTTGCCGGTGAGCTTCCACGTGGAATAGGGACGCATTCAATATCTTTCAACATCAGGTCGACAGCGCATGCTTCCAGTTCAATTTGCCCGAATTCCCAGAATCTGCAATGAGGAAAGTATGGGTACTATAAAAAGTTGAAACTTACCTAAAAGTGAATTCATTTTCGGTCAAACTCTGACAAGTGATAGGGTCAGATCTCAGAATATCCAATGATTTCTTTTGTGTTCCTTGTTCGACATACAGTACCGCATATCCGCCACGTGGTCCTACTGTAGTTCCGGTGGCATTCAGTAGAAGAGGACTTGGGAGAGCAGATGACGAACGGCGCCACATCTTAACATTTCATTTTTGAAGAAGTACTCAAGTTTGGGTTCAGCGGAGCATGCCGTAAAACCTGTAATAGAAGGGCCCTACACGTTCAATTTTGAGCTCAACTATCTCGGTTTCTGTAAGATATATCAAAAATTTATCAACTGACAAAACACTTCTGATCTATGCTAAACAATTTATCAGTTGACGCTTCTGATATATTTGAAAAGGACGGAGAAAAATTGCTTGCCCCAAGTTCAAAGTTAGGGACCCGTCTATTACAGGTTTTACCGTAATCAAGCCTTTCGAAACAACTTACCACCATAGCATCACCTCCAGATCTCCATCTACACTTTGAGTCAAAATTATCACATTTAAGCTCGGCGGCAGTATCGATATGTTTTCCACTTGCTCCCGTTTCCAATGCATTTGATTTGAAAGTATCTCCAACGTCAACTGAATTCAAGCAATATTCAAAAATCTAAAATTCGAAAACTCACTTCCAACTTTACACAAACTAGCCGAGTACAGAATATTGTCAATCATCACAAACGATCCGTCCGTATTCGAAATTTCGTATGCACGGATTCCAATTCTGAAATTGAACTTTATTTTTTGAAATATTTTTTTAAAAGGAAAAGTACCTGAATGGTTTGTCTCTTGGTGGAATTTCAGCATGACATTCTGTATTCAATTGAATAGTTCCACAATCCACGTATGGCTTTTCTTCAGATGGATCATCGAAAATCATCTTATATCCTCCTCTACCGTCGTCTTCCAACAAAATCACTTCGACTCGTGCGCTATTGTACACCCAGTATCTGTAATTCAAGTATTTTTGAAATACCGTATAACCTGTAATAGAAGGTTTCCCACACTGTCAATTTTGAGCTTGATTATCAAAAATGTATCAACTGATAAAATTTTTGTGGCACTATAATAAACAACTTATCAGTTGACAACTTTTCTATATCTTTGACAGGAACCGAGATAATTTGGGTCAAAGTTAAAAGTTTCTGTTCTTACGTAAATGTCAAATTTCCAGTCGAATTCTGACAATTGATAGGTGATGAGTAGAAGATTGCATGCTGCTCTTCTCGTTTCTTATCACCCACAAATATCATTTTGTCTCCTTGTTGAATTTTCGATGGTCCGGGACCAACACGAAGAACTGGGAATTCGGTGTAATCGATTTTCTCGAATAGATAGAAATCCTAAAATTTGGAGATTCTTGGAGAAACTAGAAATTGAAAAAATATTACTCTTGAATCCAATTGGTTCTCATCAGCCATATTCTTCCATTGACATTTTTCCGGATGAGAGAAGTCACAGTTCAAGTCAGATGAGTGTCGAATTGGTTTCTTTGGTGTCCATCCTGTAAATACAGTTTGAAGATTATCTGGATTACTGTGAACACTCTAATGGACCGCCCCCCCCCCCCCCCCATTACTCGAAGTCGTCAACTTTGAGCCCATATATCTCGGTTCCTGTTAAAGATGTCAAGAAGTGGTCAATTGATAAAATGTTAATCATAACATCAAAAATATTTTGTCAGTTGACCACTTTTTGATATTATTTGCAGGAACAGATATAAATTGGCTCAAAGAATAAAGATCCAGATGTGGTTCTTCACTCGATCTATTTTTATGATATTTTTTCAAAAATGTATTATTCCATTTGTACTGTCGAGAACTTCAAAATGAGCATAAACATGACTAGATTTGGAAAATTTTGAAATTTTGGGTTCAATACTCTAACTCAACCAGTTTTTGTCGGATTAAAGTGACAATTTTATCATTGAACGTAACTTCGCAAACCCTTCAAAATGAGTATATTCATGATTAGGTTTCGATAATTTGGCTTCTGGGTCTCGCAGTGAAATTTCAAAAATCCACCGTAGCTCGGAACATTTTCCACCGCTTTTTATTTTTCATATTTAGCAATCTCTTTGTCATACACTTATCAATTGTTCATATTCTACCTTTTTTCGTTTCTCCCCTATGACTTCATTCTTTGGATGACGCATATATTACCCAAAACCTTCCACTCTTTGATTCATGTTCTCTGTGTACACACACCAATCTTAAAAGCCAAAAAAGATGTGTCAATTTCATCTTCCCAGGTCCTTCTCTTGACCATATACAACACAATTGGCGTCATGAAAAAGAAGAGAGAAAAGCTGGTTTCAAGGGACAGGTTCGGTTCATTTTAGAATTGCCAATAGGCGAAAAAGTAGGCGAGAGGAGAAGAAAAGAAGAGGAAACGAAGACATTAATATAGACCTAAATTGGGAGAAAATTGAATGAGATTCTCGAGAGAATATGAAAGTGGCAGTTGATGGTATCTTCTTGTTAATTGGATTCTATTCATCATTATTGTGGTGAACGATATCTTCGATAATCTTTTGGTTTTCTGTTTTAGTTTGGGAACAAAAAGTTTGGTTTCCGGATTTGTTAGAGATGGAATTATTATGTTCTGAAATTTAGAAAAAAGAAACTGTAATGAAAACAAACCCTCTCAATTATTGTTAACTAAGAATATTACCGTAAACACTCTAATAGATGGCCGCCCGAACCGTTAACTTCGAGCTTATGTATCTTTGCTTTTATGAAAGATGTCAAAAAGTAGTCAACTGACAAAACATTTCTGATATTATAATAAACATTTTATCAAATGATAAACTTATATATTTTTCGTTTATTCGAAGGATTTGAAGAAATAAGGAGTGATGGTAACCGGGGAAAGAAAATGGTAAAAAACGAAGCTAAGAAGGACTAACCCGCAAACTCTTTGATAGCTTTTACAGAAACTGAGATATATGAGCTCAAAGTTGGTGGTTTCTGTGGTCTTCTATTAGATGGTGTACGGTATTTGAAATTATCAAATAACAGCAAAGGAAGAGTGTCATTTTTTGCACCCAGAATGTCATCGATTTCAGGGATTACAGAATTTCCTAGTATAATACAGCTTTTATTCTGGTACAAAAAATCGGAGCGTTTGGAGAGGGAATCTGGTAGCCGAACTACCGTAGTTAGAAAATTATTTTTGCTTTCGAATTTTTTTCTCGTTTTTCCTACGTTCTCAGTCAACTTTTTTTTGTTTTGGAAAAATACAGAAAAATTAACGGAATGCAGTGAAAAACAAAAAATCAATCAAAAAAACAATCAATGTAAAAAATCAATCAATGTTAGGTTACGGTAGTTATCGCAATGAGACCTTCGGCCACGGCCACCGGCGTTTCTCTTCCACAGCCCCGGTTGTTTCGTAGCAGGAAAAATGTGCAATATGAATCTCCAGAATTTAAAATTTTTCCGATTGAGTTACTTCTTCTCATTTATTTTTTTTCTATTTCTAATTATTACAGTGTTGTTGTTGCTGCTGTACTAAACTAATCTCATCAAAACATATCCTAATTCTTGCTTGTTAGTATTGTCTGTATGCTTATTCTGTTCTTGTCTTGTCTCTGACTCAGACATCCACCCGATCCTTATCTTTCCTTTTGCCTCCCCGAATTAGGCTTTCTCCGATTTTTTCACTCATCGCCCGATGGCGTAACATCTGCCTTAGGATGATATAACGTTGATATGGATTACGAAGGGTAGGAACCAAAAAAACGTGTTTGTTCAAGGATAATCGTTATCACTCACTATCAGTGAGAAATGAGACACAGAAGGACATTAGAACGATCATTGAGGTGTTTTTAGTGGCAGTCTGGAGAGTCCGGAGAGGCTTTTAGAGAAGACATATATTTATGAAGTTGAAGTTAGTATAATCAAAAGTACATTAGAATTATTTCGGTCTTATTTATGACACAACTTTCAGAAGAGTGATGGCAAAATTTTTTATTTATTTAATTTTTTAATTATCTCGATTACTGTGAAAGACATTGAAACTTTGTCAACTAACAACATATTGCTGATATTACGATGAATAATTTATCAGTTAACAAAGTTTTGATATCTTTCACCGGAATTGAGATGATTGAGCTCAAACTTGATGGCTTCTATTAGAAGAAATACGGTAGTTATTCAATACTTTTTGTACGTAGGATTCATAAGAGTAGCTGGAAACTTTTGATAAATGCACAAAGGAAAACAACTGCAAGTGCATTTTTCTAGTCACAGAAGAGACCCAGATCAATCAAGGGTCTACCATATCAAACAGAATTCTAGTGTCCCAAGAACAACGACTTATTTCAACTGAATAACTTCTAACCTGACTTCGCAAGGCCATTCTGTATCCATTCGATTCCTAAATGCTCCCGCAACCGATCTCTTTCTGCTTCATAACCAGGCATACATGCTTCCACATCTATAACACATTTAGGATAACGAATACAAAATTAACAGGTGATACCAGGAAATGGTATGAACCCAATAAAAGCTATAAGAAGTAATAGTATTGTCATCTAGTAAGAGAATTAGACAGATCTAGAAGCTCTTCTGGCGTTTTGGTGGTTTGGCAGGATAGAGGATGAGACGAAGCCAATGTTATCGTTTCCTGCCCTGTACAAAAAACAAGCTCCGCCTCCATTTCCCTCCTATTGAATAAGCTTGAAGAGGGGGAAGAAGCAAGCATCAGGTACTCTTTGTCTCTCTATTTCTCTTTCGATTCTTTTCCATGTTCATTTCTGATATAAATGCATAAATAGAAGACCGATCTTGTTGCGTCAATGGAATAGGCGGGAAGAAGGAGGGAAAGGCAGGAGAAGGACAGCTACTTCTGATGCAAAAACAATTGAGGCAATTCATTGTAATTCTGAAAAACGGGAAGAGGCGGAAAAGAATGAAAGCTGCTTCTCGACGGGGAGGAATAACGGGAGATAAACATTCAGTTTCAGGAAAGCTAGTTTTGAAAATTGTTTTATTAGATACGACATATATTATTCTGGTACAGAAACATTGGAGCTCTGGAAGAGAAAGCCGGTGGCCGTGGCCGAAGGTCCCGTCACGACAACTACCGTAACCTAACAAGTTATACCCTTCTCCCACAGTTCCTTTTTTTCCAAACCAGTGGCTGTTTTATCATTGCATTCATTTTTAAAGGAATCTGGTTGTAAAGCTGTAAAATCGAATATTTTAATTGTTCCAATTTTTGAGGTTCTGGTTGGTTTTGCGGGTGGTTGCTGTTTTTTTTTGTAGAATATTCATGCTCTTTGTTTCTTCTTCAGTTACAGATGTTAAAACAATATTGGAACAATTCATGAGAAACTCCAGATATGAGTTTGACTATTTACTAGAGTTGTTTTTTTTTCACGAAATGTTTTTCTTCGTGGGGTTATG